AAATGATTTTCTGGTCTGATATCTTAGAAATGCTGGATTTGGACTGAACCAGGTCAGAGCAGTTTTCATGCTGCCACGTAAATCCTCTTTAACCACGAGTAAAAGAAAGAACACATTATGCCTGTGATCATTACAAATAAATGTCTCCAAAATAAAAATAGGAATCATGCTTTGGAAATTATGCAGCGTATCTATTAAACAAAATTTACTCCCATCAAAGGAGAAAGGTGATAACATGACATAAACATATTACAATTAATTTATATAAAATGCATAAAATAAGTGAAGACAGATAAATAATTTGAAGTGATGAGTATTTTTAATACAATGAGTTTCTCCAAATTCTTAAATTTGTACCACACTGAAGAACTGTAAAGCACTATCCAAAGCTATCCCATGCTTTCTGGTAGGATTACAGTGCCCCCTTCAGTTTGGGTGTAAATAATACATTTGCAGGGAAAACAGTAAAATATCAACCAGCGTGCTCCAGAAATTCACTTTCCCTTCCTGCACTGACTGAAAATATTTATGTTAAGATCACACTTTAAGCAAAGTACACAGTAGCATCCATAGCAGAGACTTATTTGTGTAGAAAGATATACAATATGGGAAAAGATGCATACGTGCACATTTGTGAGTTATAATGATGAGAACAGCTTAGGAAATAGGACAGTTGCCTACAGGTAACTATCTGGGGATCAAATGTGGGAAGATTTCTCACTGTAACTCTTGTGCTGTTTGAATTTGTTATCCACATGGACATATTAATCTTTCAGGTAAGAAAAAAGTTAATAAATATTTTTAATTACCTATCAAATACATGGTGTGTATCCAAATTTTAAGCCTCTCCAGAAATTCCTTACTTACAGAGAAGTCATTAAATCTTTGTTCTTTCCCTGGCTATTTCAATTAAATGAAAGCCTGCCTTCTTTTACCTTGCTCCACACGAAGCCTGTCAGCTTCAGTGTGCCCATGACAGGGAAGCAGTGCATACAAGTTCACAGCTGGAAAGTAAAACTTACCCAATCGGTCCATAAACTACACTCTATTTTATAATCTCTTTAACTTGAGAGAAACTTAATATTCACACAGTTAGACTATCCCTAATTATAAAGAATATACAATGCAGAATAATCTGTTTCCCAACTCAGTCCACCCTCTCCAAAAGAAATATTTGAAAAGAAGAGGAGTAAAGAAACAGAAGTAGCAGACAGGACTGCAGCTATGGGCAGCCTGCGTTGAGCAGGGCCATTTCAATAGAGCCCAAAATCCCACAGATGGTGGTGTCTGGGTGTAGCCCACCCTCCAGCGGGAGCAGCAGGGCGAGGGGATCAGGCTGAGACTCAGGAAGATGCACAGGGCCCAGTGTGGCCAGGGTGGAGACAGAAAAGGAAAGTACACGAAGTCAGGCGCAGGGGAGGAGAAGCCAAGGCAGGCTGAGGGTGTGGCTCGGAGGGGAAGCTCAGGTGAAGCATGGGGAAGCCCTGATCTTAATTCCCAGAGAAAAGAAAAGGAAGGAAAAGAAGAGAAGGAAAGGAAAAGGGACAGGCCTTAGGAGACAACTGGGAGACTGGGTTTTATCCTGAGAGAAATCAGTGGGTGGCAGGGTAACAGTGGTGTCCGGACAGAGGTGACTGGCCCTGAGCTGACCTGACCAGAGGATCACTCCCCTTGCTGTGTTGAGGACCCACAGGCCGTGAGGTGGTGAGCAGGGACACGGATGAGTTCCAGGAGAAATGACTGAGTTTGGGAGCAGGCAGACAGCAGGAGGCGAGATGAAAGCCGCATTCTGAGAAGTCTCAAGGCAGCCCCAGAGTAATTTAGCAACCTTGAACATCCACTTGGAGAGATCAGGAGCTGGAGAGTTGTCTGTAGCCTGGGTACCCAGAGAGAGGCCTCCCCGGGGGCTGCAAGCTGTGGACGGCACAGGTGAGGGAACAGGATTCTGGTGCTAGAGGCCTTCGGTTTGCAGTATCCTCAGCCATTACAGTGGATGAGGAAAGTGAGGTATCTGTTTGCTGTTGAGCCTGGCAGGTGACAACGATGGGGGGACCCAGGAGTCAGAAGGGAGAATTACAGGGAGAGTTACAACCTACAGGCAGCCTGCACAAGCACAGGGCAAGCAGGTGGGTGGGCAGGGAGACAGCAACCCACACAAGGAGCCCACTGGAAGCTTCTAGCTTCATAGCCAAATAGTAGAGAGGACTTATTTGAAGGAATTCATGCATCCCTTCTGATTCCCTTGCTTCGTATCCTGAGTACCTTTCACAGGCCTCCCTTCCCTGATAATGGAGATGCCTCATGACAGCCTGCAGGACCCCTGGCCCACTGCCTCAGGAGCAGGACCACTCTACAGCCTGGGTTCTGTCTCACTGTCCCGCTGTCTACTCAGCTCTGCCCCTCACCCTCCCAAGTTGGCTAACTCTTAGGTGTAGATCTGTGTGTTATCCATCTACCTTAAGAGAATAAGAGCTCTGCCAGCAGGTACTTTGTGGATGCTATGCACTGCCTTCCCACCTAGCACCATATCTGTCACTTAGTTATTCAGTGACTATTTCCTTTTCTAATTTTTTATTTTATTGGTACATGTTTGTCATGAATATCTCCTGATGAACAAATTTGGTAAGTTAAATGTTAAATGAAAATATAAACATAGAATATATAATAGAATTTGGCATAGAGTAAATCTTTAATAAATATACCTACTATGATGATGATATGAAAGACCATCATATGCCAGGTATGGTGGCACACACCTGTAATCCTAGCCTTCTGGGAGGCTGAAGCAGGAAGATCACAAGTTCAAGCCCAACTTGTGCAACTTAGTGACTAAGCAAGACACTGTCTCAAAAAATAAAAAATTTTAGAAGGTCTGGGGATGCAGGTCAGTGTGAAGGCCCTGAGTTCAATCCTAAGAAGGAAAGAATGAAAGAAAGAAAGAAAGAATGAATGAATGAATTACAACAACTGTCATAAGCATAGCTGTGAAGGGCTAATGTGTCACCTCTGCTCTTGAACCAGTCTGCTTTTGTCTCAGAGACTTTCATTAAGTACATGTCACTTCTTCCTCTTCATAAACTCCCTCCCTTCAGCTAACTGTGTGCAATATTTGCCCACAATTTAAAAAATAAAAAACAATTCAAACACATCTTCTTAATTCTGCACTATCTTCTGTGTCAGTCAGCTTTCCACTCCTGTACCAAAGACCTGCGATGAGCCAGCTCATGAAGAGGACAGGTTGGGCTCATGGTTTTGCAGGCTCCAGCCCCTGGAGGGTGGCCATCGAGCTGGGCCTGTGGCAGCGCATCTTGTGGGAAATGCAGAGAGACGAGGTCCACACCATGGTGCTGGGAAGCAAGAGACAGGGTGGGGCTGAGATCCACTGTCCCCTCTACGGACACAACCCATAGCCCTCTCCTAGGCCTCCTCTTCTGGGGCTGCCACCTCCCTGTAACCACAGGCTGTCAAGATGGTGGCACATGGGAGCACTGATCCACACTCTAATGTCTTCCCAAATACAGCCAAATGGCTTCACCACTAGCAATGGCAAAAGGCAGTTTATATTAGTTCACAGTTGTTAACCAAGACAAATCTCAGTGAGCACATTCATTTTTACTTACTGTTCATATCAGTGCCTGCATGATTAAAATATTAATCATAAAATAGTATCCAGCCCGGTGTGGTCGCACACACCTGTAATCCCAGCATTAGGGAGGCCGAGGTAAGAGAAACACTGGGAGTTTGAGGACAGCCTGGGCTACAAAGTGAGTTCAAGGCCAGCCAGAACTGCAGAGTGAGACCCTGTCTCAAAAAGACAAAAAAATAAAATAAAATAGTATGCAGTGAGAGGCAGATCTATCCTCTCAGTGCTCATTAATATAAGAAAATTAGGCATAGGGCTGGGGATATAGCTCGGTGGCACAGCACCTACCTGTCAAGCACAAGGTCCTGAGTTCAATCCCCAGTACTCCCCCCAAAAAAGAAAATTAAGCATAATCTATATATCCTTCCAATGGAGTATATATGCAAATCGAGGCAGATAAATCGCTCTTGAAAATATCAAACTGGACAACTCTGTGCACAACAATTCTGCACTTTGGTCTTCTTTTAGTTAATGATGCAGCTTGGTTAAATTGCAAATGTGCACACAGACAGCCAGACCACTCTTTACTGGCTTCCCAGTGTTCCGTGTGGATATAATGCCTCCATTGAACTCCATTGAATAGTCCCACATTTATTGGCATTTAATGCATTTCTAACCATTCGTTCATGTAAACAGTGGTGAAATTAATAGCTTTGCCCATGTGTGTGTATGTGCACTAAGTATATGCACACGCTTCAAATGTACCTGTATAGAGCGGGGCGTGGTGGCACACATCTGTAATCCCAGCACTTGGGAGGCTGAGGCAGGAGGATCGTTGCAAGTTCAAGACCAGCCTGGGCTACAAAGTGAGCTCGAGGCCAGCCTGAACTGTATAGCAAGACCTGTCTCAAAAAGACAAAAAACAAACAAACCGATCAAATGTACTTGTACAGAAATTTTTAAAAGTAGAATTACTGGGCCAGGGATATAGCTTAGCTACCTGAGGTTATGAGTTTGATTCCCAGTACCAAAAAAAGTAGAATTATTGGCATAAAGAACACACAAATCTTCAGTTTTTGTTGATATGGCCAGTGACCTTCTAAAATACTTTTATTAAATCAGCAAGATTTTCAACTCCTTGCAATAATGAAAAATTATAATGATTTAAGGTTACATCTTTGGTGAAGGAAAACAATTCGCTTCCTAAATCAATACTGAATGACACACTTAAGGCAAAGGAAAACCAAGCTCTCTACTGGGGCAAAGGATTAGAATCCCTTTCCCTCTACAGGCAGTAGAAGTTTGAACACATTGCTAAATGAGTTTCCCAGGCTCCAGGAATTGTTTTTCTTAGGTCAGTCTGTTAGAAACTCACAGCCAGGGAAACAAGATAGAAAACAAAAAATCTAAACGCAGACTTGCTAAGGCGTGCACCAGGCCTCTTACATTTCTGAAACAGCAAGTTTCAACTCTTGTCCTCTGGTTTTTTTGCTTTTTCTTTGTTTTGCTTTTCACGTTTGGGTGAGTTTTTTTTTTTTAAGATTGTAATTTTGATCTATAAACATACAAATACATATATAAACATAGATATATCTTTACATATGTATATATGTCACTTCTTTTACAGATTGCAAACTCTTCATAGATGGATGGAGAGGACGGTGCCCGTTGGTTTCCAGCAGCTGCACGCTATTGCCTCTATTACCAGCACAACCACCACCAGCCTTTAAATTTGTCCCCCCCCCCAACTCCAGAGCGGTGGACGAGCCCGCCTCCTCCCAGTTCCGCGACGCAAGTGGAACGTCCCGTGGCGTCATGGAGGTGCGGCCCAATCAGGTGCGGCGCCGGGGAAAGTTTAAACTCGAGGCGGGGCGGCGAGCGACGGGTGGTGGCAACCATGGCGGAGGAGGCGGCTGTGGCTGTGTGCGTGCGGTTGCGGCCACTGAGCAGCAGGTAAGTGCCCGGCGCCACGGGGGCCGTGAGGCGGAGCGCCCCGGGCGGCCGGAGTTCGGGGACCCCAAGCCCTGACGACGCCGGCAGGGCCCGGCGCTTTGGGTCGCCTTCGCCCCGCGCCGAGAGCTCCTGCATGGGTGCAGACGCCTGCCGGCCCTGGCCAAGGGACAGGGACCGAGCCACACTCCGCCCTCGCTGCTTCAGACCTGCCCTGCAGTAAAGGAACCGGGAATAAAGTCCAAGTCAGGCTGCCAGGGGCGGCGTGGTTACCAGTCGCTCCCTAGGAGAAGCGGGGCGCGCGGCCAGAGACTCTGCGCCTTGCTAGCCTCAGGCTGCAGGCAGAGACGCTGACCCTGAGTGCTGGAGAAATTGTTGTTAAACAGCAACCGGAGTTCCATACGTGAAGTCCCGGCGTCGGGAGTCTCGTGTTTCCAAGAGTTTCCTGCAGTAACCCGGCAAAGACAGCTGCAGGGAAAAGCCGGTACAGAAGCTGTGCCCAGCTTCGGATGGGGCAGGCTGGCGGCTGCCGAGTCCTGACCCTTGCAGGAATAAAAGAATAAGTAAATGGCTCAGGGACAAGGTGTTCCAGGCACAGAGTGGTGACATCTTTCATTTCAGGGAAACCTTTGGTCGGTCAATTTGTGGGTACTTAGAATGTATACAGGAATTTACAAAAAGAGAGGGTTAGAGAAGTGACATGAACCAGGTACCTTGAGCCATGCTAAGCACATCAGGCTGCTAAAGATTCAAAGCAAGAGGGACATAATCACGGTGCACGTTTAGTCTGTCCTTTCAACGGCCGGAGGATGGGGGTGACGGACAGGCTTCCCTAGGAAATGCCCAAGGACAGGGGTCTAAGCCCCTCCTAAGAGAGCCGAACCATCTTCCAAAATATTCTTCAGAGCGTGTAAATTTTTAGATTACCTTTCCTATAACGAGAATTCTGTATCATGTATGCTGTACTTATACACAGTGTATTTATTTTTTAGAGAAAATGAACTTGGAGAAGCTACCCATGTTTACTGGAAAACTGACAGTAACGCTGTTTATCAAGTTGATGGAAGTAAATCCTTCAATTTTGGTAAGCTTATCATTTTACTACTATCCTTTTACTATTAAGAGTACAAAAGGCCTATCACTAAACCAGGCATTGTGGTACATGCCGGTAATCCTAGCACTTGGGAGGCTGGGGCAGGAAGCTCGCCCTGAAATCAAGATTCTGCCATGGTGAGTTCAAGGTCAGCCTGAGATACAGAGTGAGCCCTTGGATCCAAAAAAAAAAATTAACCAAAGGCATGTCAGTAATATTACACTTGTCATTAAAGATCTATTAACTGCTTCACTGGAAAAAAATCATTTATCCATCACGTATATGACATAAGGTAATAAATTGATCTTTAAGATATAGTTACAACCATATTACCTTATGATGGAAACTAGTATTTTCTCCATTAGACCATAGACTATAGTCTTAAACTATAAATCCAGAATATTTCACAATGTCGTCATCTTTAAGATCTTTATCTTTTTGCAATAATTTTGAATCAAACATCTTAAATAATAAATGGTACAGATGTGTCTTACATGTCTGTTCAAGTGTATCAGGGACCAGGTCAGCTTTCGTGGAATTTACACTGTGGTGGGAGGAGAGGTGTGGTGACAGGATGAGCTTTGCAGGGCACACAGTAAGGCATATAGCTTAGTCCTAGTGTCTTCAAAGTGCCTGCCACTCACAGGGAGGACCTGAGGCTTAAAGGTGACTGGGTTGATTGCATTATTGACTGACATGTCCAAAGCACTGACCTTGTACCACACACTGTTCTGTGCACTTCGTGTATATTAATCTACTCACTCAATCCTCACAATAAGTCTACGCCATAGATACTGCTACCTGCCCCATTTTAATGAGGGGGGAGGCGGAATTATACAAGTATAACAAGAGGAAGAATGAGGCTCTGACCTGTGTTCCGGCCACAGCACTGTACCTGCTGCAGAGCAGCACAAGGCAGTAGCGTCCTCAGCAGCCAGTGCTTATTACATTTGGGAGGGACATTCTCAGAAGATAAAAACACTAAAGCAGATATTGTCAAATATTTTATCAGCCTAGGTCCTGACAATCTTGCTTTTGGGCAATTACTAATTCAGAATGAAAACACAGCTGACTTACTTTGTATGTGTTTTTTAGATCGTGTCTTTCATAATAATGAAACTACTAAAAATGTATATGAAGAAATAGCAGTGCCAATCATCGATTCTGCCATACAAGGTTACAATGGTTGGTATTCATTTTATGCTGCAAAAATATTTTATTTTTAGTGTCTATTCAACAGTATCTTGAGTTTTAGACGTTATAGATTTAGTTTCAATCTTTGCATGTGTGTTTTGTCTTTATAGGGACTATATTTGCCTATGGGCAGACAGCTTCTGGAAAAACACATACTATGATGGGCTCAAAAGATTGTTTGGGAGTTATACCCAGGGCAATTCATGATATCTTCCAGAAAATTAAGAAGGTAATGGCTTAGCTGACTTCCTAATGCATACAGGTAAAAGTAGTTACAATCAGATAGAATTTTTTTTTTTTTTTCTGAGACAGGGTTTTGCTGTGTCATTCAGGCCTGCCTTGAATTCACTATGTAGCCTAGGATGGCCTTGAACTCAAGGCGGTCCTCCTGCCTCAGCCTCCTGAGCACTGGAATTACAGGCATGTGCCACCATATCTGGCTCAGATAGAAATCTTAATTTTTTTTCTTACACTGATTAACACATTTGCACTCCTTTCTTGGTACCCATGAAGAAAAGCATAGCATAAATTCAGTTTTATCCCCACAGCTGAACTTTGTGGAGCTTAGAGTTTGCTGATTTGTTCTCTTGGATCCTGCAACAGTAACATTTTCAAGTGGGCATTAAGTACTAGCGAATCTTATCCACAGGGTTAGCTCCACACTGCTTGTGGGTCACTACCAGTGATTATTACAGAAAAATAAGAAGTAGATGTAGGGAAAAGAAGAAAGGAAGCAGAAGGCTGGAATATGCAACCTAATTAGTTAAGAGTTGGTTTTAAATTTGCATCTTCATTAAAATAAGAACATCTATTTCCAGGGTTTTATTTTGAGTCTAGAGAGTTAGATTGTATGCCCTCTTATTTCATGGTAGCATGCTTTGTATTATTTCTGAAGTGATAGTTCTATATTTTTGTGTTTATTACTGTTAGACTTACAACCATAAGTTGGTTTTTTTATGAAGATCATTTCTTGCCACTTTAATGTTAATGAATATGCATTCAATATTAGATTTTCTTAATGGGAGACTTTTTGATGTTTTTACACATATTTCTCTTCCAGTTTCCAGATAGAGAATTTCTCTTGCGTGTGTCTTACATGGAGATATACAATGAAACCATTACAGATTTACTCTGCAGTGCCCAAAAAATGAAACCTTTGATAGTTCGAGAAGATATCAATGTGAGTGGTGGAGTTAAGGTGGCTTTAAAACAGACTCTTCTTGGTATTGTTTTGCATAATTTAAATGTTCATAGAGCTCTGTCTTTTTTTTGTTTGTTTGGTTTTTTGTTTTTCTTCTGGTACCAGGAATCGAACTCACAACCTTGCACTTGCCAGGCAGGCGCTTTTGCCTCTGAGCTAAATCCCCAGCCCCGAGCTCTGTCTTTATTGTGTATAATTTTAAAATACAGCTGTAATATTTTGGTTGAAGTTCTTAAAAACAGCAAGATGGAAAGATCAGGTTGGAATTTGGTGTACTTTGATGGAGGTACTGTTGTAGGTATTTGTAGATTTGCTTGCTATTTTCATACAGAATAGTGATTCCACATTTTAACTTCCACAAATGAATTCTGCAATAGTTTGTACCTTCTTTTTTTTTTTTTTTTTCTTTTTTTTTGGTATTTGAGGCAGGGTCTCGCTGTGCAGTTCAGGCTCGCCTTGAGCTCACTTTGTAGCTCAGGCTGGTCTTGAATTCACGATGATCCTCCTGCCTCAGCCTCCAAGTGCTGGGATCACAGGTGTGCGCCACCGCACCCAGCTTATACCTTCTTTTTGAAAAGTATATTTTCTGATTGTTTCTCTAATCTTTTCATAATTAAACTGGTTTCAGAGGAATGTGTATGTTGCTGATCTCACAGAAGAAGTGGTCTATACATCAGAAATGGCTTTGAACTGGATCACAAAGGGAGAAAGTAAGACTATACTCTATTTCTTTTCTTTAAAACACTTATAACAGCTTTTTTCAGTGAATCAATTTGTTTCATTGTTAAATGCAAATAAAGTAGACATCAAGTCACACTTATTATTAGGCTAAAGTAAAAATTAATGGTTTTCTTGGCCTGCAATATATATAGTTGAAATATAACTCATTTTACAGAGAACAGACATTATGGAATAACAAAAATGAATGAAAGAAGCAGTCGTTCACATACCATTTTTAGGATGGTAAGTAATTACTCTCTTTCCACCTCTGGTCATTCCAAGTAAGCATACACTAATTTTTTTTTTTTTTCATACACTAATTTTTATACAAATTGCCCTTTCTGTCTAGATTTTGGAAAGCAGAGAGAAAGGTGAACCTTCTAACTGTGATGGCTCTATCAAAGTGTCCCATTTGGTAAGTGTTCCTGAACCATAGTATGGCACCATCTGGGCCAAAACAAACTAACTTAACTGTAGCATGTTTGCTTTAATAAGAACTGTTAACTAAATAGGAAAAAAAAATTAGCAATTTACTGGTCTCATCAGTAACATTGGATTACTAGCTAAAATGTTATAGAAAGAATTGGGGATCTTTCTTCCTGTTAGGTCACAACTGTCATCTCCTAAATTATAGACATAAAGACTATGGGATTTCAGGTTTTTCTAATCACCAGTGAAATAGGATAAGTAATCTGAAAATGAAAGGGTTTTTTTTACTCAGCCAGTATAAATTAGCTTTGTGTGATCAACAAAAAATACCTTTAGGTAGAATGGCTAAAACATTCATCACATTATTTAATTTTTTTCTTAGGAACAGTAAGTGTCTCAGTTACTTTTCTCTTGTTGCTGGAACAGAATATCCAATGCCCAAATTTAAGGAAGGAAAGTTTATTTAGCTTACAGTTTGGAGGTTTCAGTCTGTGCTTGGCTGGCTCCAAGGTAGAGTGGCACATGGCAGAGGGCAACAACAGTTCCTGGCAGCAGAAAACAGCAAAAGCAACAAGAACAAAAGGGGGAAACCAGCAGCACCAAGCAGCTCTTTCCCTCCCTTACATTTATGCAAACTGCCTGCCCCAGGGCAGGCGTAGCACTCACACCCATAATTCTAGCACTGGACCATGAATCAGTCATAAACTCTAGAAGCCCACCCCATGACTGCATGAGGCTTTGGGGGGAACATCCAGACACAAACTATAACAGTAAGAGAATACTTATATTTCAAATGTTGTCTTTTGTCTCCCCTAATCATGTGCTCCACAGCTGCTCTACCACTGAACTGCACCCCAAACTGGTCCGCAAGTTGTGGGTTATTGTTAAATTGAGCTGCACCCCAGCCCACAGGCAGGGCCTTAGACCCCAGCCCCTGGGGTGATATCACTTGAACCCCACAGCCTCCCTCATGGCCTGCGGTCCTGCTCCGCGCCTCTCCTGAGTGTGTGCGCACTAACATCGTGCATCCCGCTCCCCCAACTGTGTGGCTTCCTGTTCCCCTCTTGCACTGTGTCACCACTGTCCCTTGCTTGCTCTTTTCTTGTCCCTTTCCATCATTAATCTAGTCCACGTCGTCAGGGCCATCTTCTTCAGCTTGGTGTGGGATTTGATTTAAGATTAACTTACTTGCTTTGGAAACCTTGGGGGGAATTTAATCTGTAATACATTTATTCATTCTCAGATTTTGTAAAATCAGTTTTTAATTAACATCCATTCCTTTTTTGAGACAGGGTGTTGCTATGCAGTTCAGGCTGGCCTTGCGCTCACTTCGTAGCCCAGGCTGGTCTCGAACTCGCAACAATCCTCCTGCCTCAGCCTCCTGAGTGCTGGGATTACATGCATGCACAACACCCATTCCTTACTTTACGTTATTTTGCTGTGAAAGTATATCAGTTATTTTAGTGGACTTCATGTTATTTTAACTTAAAACAAAACAAAAAGAAAACCAAACTTTTATTTTCCAACTGTAGCTTGTGATACTTCACTATAGTTTCAACTTTCTCTTAATAATTTAGTTTTATTTTTAAATTTGTACCAGGAATCAAACTCAGGACCTTGTGCTTGCCACGCAGGCGCTGTGCCACTGAGCTATACCCGTAGCCCCAATAATTTAGTTTTAATACTTATTCAGTGAGCTATGTTATGGTTTCTCTCGTCATCCTGTACTCTGTCCTCGGTGACCTTTTTAGAGACCTTTGGCCCAGCCTTCAGTCTGCCTTGCTGTGGGTGTCTTCACGAAGAAGTCGACCCCACAGAAGCCCCATCCGGCGTATGAAGTAACCCTGCGTGGCGCCTCTGGGCGCCTCCTCTGCACCACACCATCCTGCCCCCCGCATCCTACACAGCCTCCTGTCTGGCTGCCCGCTCTCTGTGCCAGGGCGCCGCTGAGCTATAGACATTTGCATCAGGCGTGTCCCTGCCCCTGCGTGAGGCCCTCTGGCCAGGGCTTCCATTTTGTTTAGGGAAACCCAGAGTTTGTCCCAGCTTCCACTCACCAGCTGTGTCACACTGCCCTTTGTGTCTTTGAACACACTCATGGTGCTCTGCTTTGAGGCCTGATGGATGGGCCGTTCTTTGTGAGTACAGTTTGCCTTGATCTTTTCATAACGCTCCCACTTCCCTATCATTGAAATCTTAGTTTAAGGATGAGCCTTTTTTGCCACCCCACTTCAAAAGATATTCTGTGGCTCCCAGCTCTCTGTTCAAATCGTTTCAATTACATTTGTCACAGCACGTCTTAGTGTTCCTTCTCTCCTCTCCTCTCCCAGCCTTCTCCACCAGGTAGGGCATATAGGACTGTGAGCAGAGACCTCATTTGTCTTGTTCTCTGCTGTTACCCCAGAACCTGACACACTGTCTGGAGTGTGATAGGAAGTCACTTATTTTTTAAATGAGAGATCCCTGCTGTTAAAGATGCCAGGGTGTAGTCAGGGCCACACATGAGCAGCCCAACAAAATCAGTGCTCTGAGAATAAGTCACACCCGTAAAGAGCTCTGGCTGATCAGTGGGAGGAGTGATTCGCTCACAGTATGGAAGGACAGAAGTTGGCAGAGCTGCACTGGGAAGGTGACCTTTGCCCTGGCCCTTGAGTGGAGCAACGGCGGACTAGAACATGGAACCAACAAAGCAGTAGCAAAAGCTGCTGCCACTCCTACCAAGTTACAAAGGGTCATGTCTGCCATGGTGAAGTGCTGTACTCAGTAGAAAAGGACCTACACTGGTTGCATTATATGGCGTATCCTAAAGAAGGAGGGAACAAATGTAGAGGTTAGGGGAAGGAGGTGCCAGAGCATGGGGTGGGAGCCAGGACCCAGAGGCTGCACTCAGACGGGCCATGTACTAAAAACATTCTTTCAGGGGGTTGGAAATTATTACAAAAATCGCCCTCCTAAAGATTTGCTTTCATCCTGCAGAATTTGGTCGACCTTGCTGGCAGTGAAAGAGCTGCTCAAACAGGAGCTGAAGGTAAATAGAACTCATGAACCACATTATTCTGTCTTCCTAATGGATGGGATGAAACATGCTGCTAAGCATCTTTAAAACTAGTAAAATAATACAAATTTCCCATAAAACTCTTTAACATAAACACCAGCATCTGTATCTAATTTACCTGGGACTATTCTAGCATCTGTTGAACTAAAATTGAGCTCTTGATAGGATTGTATTAGCTGGGAAGCCCAGAGAGTCGCAGAAAAATAGCCTAAGCTTTCGTATCAGCAAGGAAATTAAGTAGTAGGAGGCGTCTTTTCAGCGCTAATGTTCTGATTCTAGGGTCTTTCCCATATGTACATGATGTTCTTGACATCTTAGGCCTTTGCAAAGGTATGGCCTGATCCTAGTAGAGACACTAGGTGACTGATAGGCAAGGGAAGGAAGAAGCAGTAATCACCTTCCCACCGTGGTTGGAAGTCCATGGGTACCTGTGTTTAATGACAGGGGAAAAAGAAGAAATAAACTGAGGAGTTAAGGGAGGAGTTCTGTAGGGAAACAGGCTTTCTCTCCCTCCCTCTGCTGTTCTCTCAGGGCATAACCTCTCTGGTTCACAGAAGAGGAACAGGAAGAGAGCCCCTACCAGTTAGACTGAAGCGGGGCTCTGGTCCAACCCAAAACAAGCACTTTCCCATTGCATGTATCATGTCTGATTTCTCTCATAACTTTGTACATAAGTTTATCATCTCATGCAGTGGTGGTCGGTTTTCATACTTGTCTGATATATTCAGGTGTGCGACTCAAGGAAGGCTGTAATATAAATCGAAGCTTATTTATTTTGGGACAAGTGATCAAGAAACTAAGCGATGGACAAATTGGGTGAGTTTATCCATTGGCCTGTTATGTTTTTCATTGGGTTAAAAATTAATACTCGGAGGGGGGATATAGCTCAGTGGCATAAGCACCTGCCTGGCAAGCGCAAGGTCCTGAGATCCATTCCTGGTACCAAAAAAAAAAAAAAAAAACTCGAGTGTTTTCTGTCACAAACACAAAAGCTCTGAGATTCTCTGAGCATTACTTCCTATATGTGTGACTGTATGCTACTGAATTTAGTCTTTTAAGTATTTTTCATCATTTTGATCTGTCTCATAACTTGTAAAGAATTAGTTTTTAAAATTGACTAAGTGTTCTGCACTAAAAGCCAACCGCTTTTGTTACATAAAACTCTCAATTCTCTTTCTCCCCAAACTCTTGGCATGCTAAGTGGTTTCATCAATTATCGAGATAGCAAATTAACACGAATTCTCCAGAATTCCTTGGGAGGAAATGCAAAAACTCGTATCATCTGCACAATCACGCCAGCATCTTTTGAAGAAACCCTGAGCACTCTGCAGGTGCGTTTGATTTTTATTTCAGCCCAGCAAGAGCAGTTTAAAAATCACCAACTTAAATTAGATGTAATTTTCTTTAACTGACATTGGCACGCCTATTATAGTAAAATTGATGTTGTCTACTGAATGGCATTCCTTGATCTAATTTTCCCACACTTCAGTCATTTGAATCCCACTTCCATGTTTTTTACCATAACTCACTTTATATGCTTAATTTGTAATAAAAGCAAACTCTGCATGATCCACACTACAAATAGGAAATAACAAAAAAAGATTTTTTTTTTGTCTTCTTGAGACAGGGTCTTGCTCTGCAGTTCAGGCTGTCCATGAGCTCACTTTGTAGCCCAGAGTGATCTCGAATTTGCAGCAGTGCTCCTGCCTCAGCCTCCTGAGTGTTGGGATTACAGGCATGTGCCACCATGCCTGGCTCATAAAAAAGACATATATTTTATAGTTATTAAATTTCTGCTCACTGATGGACCCCTTTATTCTGAGCCTGTTTTGCATTTTCTGTTAACAAAAAAAGAGGAACTAAATGTCAGTAGAATAGCTTTGTTAGTGAAGGGTCCAGTGTTACTTAACAGTCATCTTCATGTGCCGCTTAAAGTGGATCTGGTGCTCAGACTGGGGAAGCGCCAGTCAGCTGCTGAGCCCCGGGTCAAGGTGCTGACAGCAGTGCAAAGATAGAAAGTCAGGTCTGTGGCAATGAGACTCATCCTCCAGCATGATTGCTTTGGAGCAGAGGTGAAGTAGGATGGAGTTCAGAGGCAAGGAGGTGCTTTCGGCAAGAAGTGGACCCTCAGAGTAGGGCAGGTGCCCCTGGGTGGACAGGACTGCACAGAGCGGTGCATGGGGGTCATGTCATCAGCTGTCTGCAGTGGGTGTTCTTAACTGTCCTGAAGACCATGTGCCAGGCTAAGCGGGTTGCAGAGAATCATTAGAAAACTTTGAAGGCTCCTTGTATAAAAACTTGTTTAGCTCACTGTCGACAGTATTATTCTGTTTTAGTTTTGTTTTTAAAGAAAATTTGTTACAAGAAATCTAAACGTTGTTCATTGTTAGAAATGTTTAGTTTGAACGTGTTATACTTTTATATGCTCTCAGTTTGCCAGCACTGCTAAATATATGAAGAATACTCCTTATGTCAATGAGGTATCAAGTGATGAAGCGCTCCTGAAAAGATACAGGAAAGAAATAGTGGACCTCAAAAGGCAGCTAGAGGAGGTGAGTGTGACGCTTTATTTTAATTTCACAGGTACATATTGAGTTAGTTTAGAAAGAGAAATATTGTATAGTTATTGAAAACTACCTTCTATTTTTCTTCATATCCCCTGAGTTTCTCTTCTGACCCTGAGATAGTAATCTAACAATATACCATAGTCCTGCCATTCTAAGTGATTTGTTTTAATCACCATGACCCCATGGCCTGTAAAAATCTTTCATTTTATTGGACTTTTAAAAAGTGAGCTAAAATATCAAACAGTAGTCTTATAAGACAATAACGTCTCTCTACCTTTGTCTTTGGATTTTCAACCTTGGCTCTCTTGACTTCTCTGCCTGTTATTCATATGTTTCTTGGACTATTAATAGAGTTGCCTTAATAACCTTATTGTCTGCATAATGTAAAGAATAATGATGAGAAGAAATGTGTTTGAGAAATTGTTGATTATGGTTATGGCATGCGGGCTTCTACATGTAGGTATATTTTATTTCAGTAAAATTTTAATTCTCGTAAATGACATGAAAATGTAATATTCTGTCCTTTAAGCTACTTTCAAAGTTTTAAAATCTATCTACATGTGTTATTAACATAACCTAATATTACATGCGGTAGGTAAATGTAAAAACTCGGGCCCAGGAAATGGAAAAAGACCAATTAGCCCAGCTTTTGGATGAAAAAGATTTGCTTCAAAAAGTACAGGATGAGAAAATTCACAACTTAACACGGATGCTGGTGACCTCGTCTTCTCTCACGTTGCAACAGGAATTAAAGGTAAAATGCAGAAGATGGACGCTTACAGTGAACAGAACCAGCAGGCCTAGGTTTATTGTGTGCTTAACGCTTCTTATCCTTGGATACAGGAGAGTCAGGAAGCCTGGAAGGTGTTGTATACATCGCTAGCCGGGTAGGGTAAGAAACAGGAGAAAGCGGGCCCTCAGAGGGGAGGATGGAGTGGGTGGGTCTGTCACGAGGAAGAGCAGGAAGGAAGCAGTAGCTAGAGCCAAGTGAGCAGTCAGGCTTTTGTCTTTTTCAAAACACGAAAGCAGACTTGAGTATGAAGCTGGGAGGAGGATGGCGGGGAGGACAGATGGGCAGATACCCAAGGACACAGACCCCAGAGTACATGGCAGGGTCAGAGCAAGGCACGCTGGTGGGCACTGGCTTCCCAAGCCCAGGGGAAGAGACTGGCATCAGGGGACCTAAAAAGAGTGGTTCCCAAGGGAATCACACTGGCAACCTGGGCACGGCTTCCTGTCTGCTCCTTCCCAGCGAAGCAGGGTGCCCAGGGGTGCAGCGCAGTGAGTGCTCCCACACAACCCCAGGGTTCCCGAAGCTTTGTAAGTTGCCAAGGGCCCTTCGCATGAGTTCTAGAAAATCTTCACTTAGGGGCTAAGGGTACAGCTCTTGCCTGCTCAGCCGGTGGAGGCGCTGGGTTCGATTCCCAGCACCAAAAACAAAAAGAAGTGAGAACGGTGGTTTCATCAGATTTATCATGGTATTAAACATTGGCCTGAAAAATGTGACCATCTTTTCATATCTCAGAGTGTCCTTCAAGTAGTAAGATAATCAATGGCTTTCAAAACCAGTAACTACTTTCCTGTTTTATTATGTCTGAACTCCAATCTAGGTAAAGAATCTTGTGTTTGTTTTTTAGGCTAAAAGAAAACGAAGAGTCACTTGGTGCTTTGGCAAAATTAACAAAATGAAGGATTCAAACTATGTGAAGGAATTTAGTATGCCTGCAAATGTGACGACAAGAACGCCCAGGAATGCCCTTGCTCCCTTAGGGGAAATTGATGAGTGTGAGTCCTGTCCACATGTACTGATAAAGGCTTCCCTGTAAAGACAGACTGCGTAACTCAGTATGATAAATATGTTGAAATAAAATGTATTTTAGGATTACAATGGAAGTTACGGTTTAAAAATAAGTGATTTTTAGAAAGTAAACTTTCATGAAATTTTCTACAAATGTGAGGTCTCAAGAATGATGTACTAGTTTGAAATACATGTGAAAGATATTTTTGTTTATTGTTGTTCTGATTATTATTCATTTAAGTTAGTATAGTATTCATGTAACATCTGTCTTAAACTTTGCCAGTCTTTAAAGGATGGCATTTATGTTGAAATCTTTCAAAATTATACCTAAAGCATTATAATCTTATTTTAGGGGCATTTTTAAATCTGCTTACAGTGATCAAATTTCAAACTCAGAATTTGTCCTTTTAACCTCTGTGTGATAAGGAGCCCATGTTTTATCACTAATCCCACCAGCTGTCTTAGTTCACCCAGTACTGTAAATGATCGCCTCTGTTGACATGTGTTCTAGGCATTCACACTCTTGAGGAAATACTAACTAATGTGAGCTTATTATTTATTACCTCTGTCACACTTTTTTAATAATGTTTAATTTGACTCTTAGAGAACATTATACATGTTAACATATACATTTCTTTTTCCCCTAATTGTAGCTTTCTGTTTGGAGTCTGATACCTTCAGCAACACTCTTGATACATTAACAGAGATAGAGTGGAATTCCGCAACAAAGCTACTAAATGAGGTAATGTATTTTACAGAACATGATCTTGTGTTGGTTTTGTGGTTGTAGTTTGTCTCCAGCTCTGACTTAATATCAGAGACAGTTTGGGCTCTAATGAAGATTTCCCTCACTTTTTTTGACATCTAGTTAAAAACTACGAAACATTTAGAGGGAGGCTAAAATGTTTATAAGGCAGGTGTGCGCTAGTAGGTAAGTGTTTGCTTGTAGTTCTTTACCAGGAAACCTTAGTATCCATCTGGTTTGTTCTGGGAAATCCCGTGGAGGTAAAAGATTAATTTAATTAATCTTGGGGAGAAGCGTCAGCATTCCCAGGCATAAGTATAAGAGTGATGCACCAGAGGGAGATAATGTTGCTAGATGACACTGAGAAATACAGGTAAATGTACCATTCATTGTCCCTCTGCCTCCTTAGGCCACTGTCTCTGTGACCCCCCCACACAGATGCCCTGGCTGTAGATGCCCAATCCCTACTTAAACGGCATGACTCACATTTGCACATAACCCACGCCCATCCTGTGGTGCATTTGGGCCATCTCTAGGTTACTGGTGCCCCCTAACAGTAGAAATGCCACACAGTAGTTATACACTGCATTCTTAAGAGAACAGTGACAAGAAGAGAGGCCTACATGTAAGCACAGACAAAACCACTGTGGATGATCGCACTTTCTCTCTGAGCTTAGTTGAATCCACGCATGAGGAGCCTACAGGTACACAGGGCTCCCAGCAGGTGCCTCGGAGCCAGAAAGAAGGGAGGCAGTGGTGAGCACTGCTGTAGGTTAGCTTCTGGGGTTACTCTCCAGATTGCTCATGTTTAAGACAAGCCACATTCTTGTGTACATGTGTCTGTTAAAATGTCAGTTTAATTTGGAATACAGTTACACTTCCTGGTAATTGTTATCATTGGTTAATATAAACAAAGTGCTTTTGTATCCCTGACACAAAGTGTAGGAGTTTGCTGTCTTTTTTTTTTTTTTTTAAATTCCTAACTTAAGCTGTTTTTTTTTAACCTCTTTCCCATAATGGTAGGGTAAAACCATCATTAGAGACCGAGAGGGCACACATACTGTTTCTTCCTGAATTGAGTCATCTGAAAAATAAAGTAGTAGTCAGACGCATGAGGCATTACATCAGCGGCTTTAATACTGAGGCGCTGAAGGGTTTGTGGTCAAGTGGGCTCCCAATGTTTACCTTCCCGCTTGGACTTTCCCTGAAGTAAGAAGCAGACTTATATTTATTTATATTATCTTTATTCTACTACTTTCAAAATAAACATCTGTCCTGAGTAAGCTAGTTTACCAAAATGTAGACTATTAGAAAGATTGAAAGAGAGAAACCACCAATGGTTCAAAGGTATATGTATTATTCACCTCATTTAAAGAAGTAAAGACTATGTGTTCTGAATCCCTTCTGATTGGGAAATTTGTTTTTGTTTATAATAGGAAAACTTAGAAAGTGAGTTCACCTCACTTCGTGCTAAATATGATAATCTGGTACTAGACTATGAACAACTAAGAAGAGAAAATGAAGAAATGGGATTAAAATTAAAAGAAAAAAATGACTTGGATGAGTTTGAGACTCTGGAAAGAAAAACTGAAAAAGATCAAGAGGTAAGACAAGTGGAGATCCCAAATTAAACTAAAGCTATACTTTAAAAAGAGATACTATTCTCTGAAAGATTTTTATTTCTAAGATTGAGCTAACAAGCATTAACCCTTTTTTTACATGTACACAATGTAGAGAATTTAAGAAATACAGTATTTAGCTTGTATTGTTTTTAAAACAGTTAAATCACATTGGCATCCATCATGCTTGCTAGAAAAAGCAATTGAAAACATCCATGTGGGGGCTTAGTGGATCTCCTGGCTTTGTCCTGAAGAAATAGCCATTCCCTTCTGAGACCTCTGCAAATGCTAATATAGATCTAGTTGAGTGCTATGTGGATGCCATGTGTTAATGAATTTCTTTTTCTCTAGCAAGTATATCTATTCCTAAGTAGTTAAAATGTTGTGAGAATAGCTAGAGAAACTGATTAATGAATGAAGCCATTAGACTGTAGGCACTCAAAATTGCCCGAAGATTTCAGGAACTCCTGAATGTGGAATATCTTACCCTCCACAGACACTATGAAGTTATTTTGCAGAATTTTTGAGTACATATTCATCTGGAACAAGAATACGTACAAGTCTGTTATCAGACTTGCAGAGTGATCTGCAACCCTCCACAAAACAAGAGCCTGTGTCTGGGTGTAGGGGAAGTGTGAGTTGCCGTGGAGCTGCTTCTCGGGGGACCTGATTCTGATTGGGCTTCAGTCAGTAAAGTTGGCTTCGTCTTAGAGCATGGAGTCTTGGATAAAAGTACTAGATTTAAGCCCAGATTTGGAGCTTAAAACCTACATTTTGGAAGAAAATTTAACCAAAAGCCAAATTATGGTCTGGGGACAGATATTCATTTCCCCAGTTTTCCTAAGGGTTTTATGAAAAATCACAGATTATTTTCAAGTGGGAACATAGTGATAGAGGATGCTTAAATAATAAATTTTAGAGAAATAAAAAAAAGGATCATAACGCTTGAGTGGTAAGAGAAAAATCTTATCCATTTACGTATTTTTTAACTTGATTTGTTTAATTTTATAATTTTCACAAGTTGGAAATGTTTAGATGTTTGTCTTATGAAGTTTAATATTTCGTTTCATCTGCCAAAATTTTTAATATTATGTCACAGTGGGTTGGTTAACTGCTGATCTAAACATAGTTAAATTGTACTTCCTTCTCACACATTTTGCTTAAATGCTTGAATGTCCTTAAACAGCATGTCATTTGGACCTTACACTTTCACTTACACCAGAGTTAATCCCTTTCTACTTGTGAAAATCAAAATGTAAAATGAAGTGAAGATTATTGTTTATTCACGGTGAATGTGATTTTCTTCTTTTTCTACATGACAGTCAAAAATGGGCAAGGAATCAGAAAGATGAAGCCAATTTAGATATTCCAGATAAAAATCTTAAGCACACATGGCTCATACATTTCTATTTTCAGCGCGGACCTAGCTTTGGAATGTCAACTCTAGCACTGGTCTGAAATCTAAAACTAGTCAAACTAGTTAAGCATCCAGAAAATATTGCTTGACAAGATCCCATTTTCTTAAATCCCCTACTTTCCATTAGAATTCACTTTTAAGTGCTCATCTGACTGTGAACTTCAAATCATTCTAAGGAAAATACGTTTCTTGGTCAATTACAGTTTATTTGTTTCGAACACAGAATTTTCTGGTACTCAAAAATTTAATGCTACAGATAATTTGGGAGAAGAGAAACATTAATAGAAATACTTATACCTTCATACTGTTAGATAGTTGAACAGTATAATGCAATAGCATTATATATGCAATATTTTCTATAGAATAAATCAAGGTAATAGTTGATAATCCCATACCTTTGTAGCTTGGTTGGCCAATGATATGATAGATATCAACCATCACACAACCCTAATCCTAGCCTCAATTCCAAATCACAGCTTGTTAAAAAACTATGTCAGTGTACAGCTAGACGAAGGATTGATTTATGGTAATAAAAAAAATCTCAGCCAAATATGGTGGCACATACCTGTAATCCCAGCATTCTGGGAGGCTGAGGCAGGAAGATGTCAGATTCAAGCTGAACCTGGGCAATTTAGTGAGACCTTATCTCAATTAAAAAGGAGTGGAGGTGCTAGGGACATAGCTCAGTGCAGAAACCCTGCGTTTCATCCCCAGTACTGAAACAAAAAAACTCATAGGATAAACATATTTCTGTACTTACCCAAAACAAAAATGTATTAAAAGTATATCATGAATTTTAATTACCACTTTATTAACTCCTCTAAGTGATGATTACTAATTTGCCAATGTCACAGTAGCTAATAAAGCAGATTCTATCATTACTATCGGGGTCATGCTGAGATTCTCTCCTTGTTTGCTGGTTCTGTGGGTCTGGACCACATTTCTTACAGTTTTGAATACCGAGGTGCTCTGTTGTGGTAGCTTGAACACTTGGCCTCAGCCCTGTACCTCTGTTGGGAAATCTGAAGCTTTTGCTTTATTAACTATCGGCTTCCTCTGGTGCCTGTTCACATGCTCTTACAGATGCAACTAATTCATGAAATCGCCAACCTAAAGAATTTAGTTAAGCACGCAGAAGTTTATAACCAGGACCTCGAGGTGAGCATTCATGTTGATGTTTCTGTTGATAATGAGAACTATAAAACATACATGACATTGAACATGATGACAGAAAATAGAAGAATTATTCTTTAAGTACTAACACTTGAATTTTACTGTGAGTTTAAACTGTTTTTTAATCCTGTCAAATCCAAATCAAATACTAAATTCTGTTTCATTCTTCTTTGATTCTTTTAGAATGAATTAAGCTTAAATGTAGAACTGCTCAGAGAAAAAGAAGCTGAGATTAAGAACCTAAAGAACTACATAGACTCCCAGAAGTCAGAGAATGCCCCACCAGACTTGCCATTCTCATCGGTAAAGATCAGGCTCCCAGGGGCTGGGGATTTAGCTCAGCGGCAAAGTGCCTGCCTGGCAAGCGCAAGGTCATGAGTTTGGTTCCCGGTACCGGAGAAAAACCAAAAAAACCCCCCCCAAAAAAAAGATTGGGCTCCCTTACCTGTGCAGTCCTTTTGCATTTCTCCTTTGCAACAATCATGGGTGTTGACACTGGGCCAGCTGTGCACAGTGCATAGTTGTCACCAAGGTGTTCATATTTCATCTGTCAGCCCTGTGACAAAGGGACTGTTCAGATCATTGCCACTTTACAAATAAATGCTCATAGGAAGTTCAGTGTGTCATTCTTTGATTAAGCATAAGGAAGTTAGGGACAAGCTTCCATTAGAAATAAGCAAATTCATCAGCAACTTAGCAAGAACTTGTCTCTAAATTAAAAATAAAAAGGTACTGAAATTTTAGCCCAGTGCATAGGCCCTGAGTTGATTCCCCCATACCACAAAATAGATAAATAATTCAGAAAGCTTCTGTTTTCAGTTTTTGTACAGATGCTTATAGAAGTAAGATGCTTAAAGATACTAAGGTAATCATTTGTGTTGGAATTGATAAGTAACTATAAGGTATAGATCATAAATAGTTCAGCATGATTTAATAAATTTCATTTCATTAATAGATAGCAAGTATTCCCATTATAATTCAAGTACTATTTTGTTTTTTTATTAAAGAGTGACAGATTTCTTATAGTATTTGCATACATTGGTATTTATGGGGACTGTTTTGGTTTTGTTTTGTGTTTTGCTTTGTTTGGTGGCTCTAGGGATTGAGCCCAGGACCTTACACATGCTAGGTGAGTATTCTTATCACTGACCAACATCTCTAGCCCCGTGCATTGCTTTTATATTTTCATTATGGAAAACATGATATCTTTCCATTTGTGTAATCATTAGCACATGCTCACCCCTTGTGACTAGGTAGGAATGACATCTGCGTACATGTTTCTAATTTACTCAAATCTGCTAAAATTAGATCTCACATCTGTCTAGGAAAACAGTGATGACCTAAAACAAATGAAACAGTCTTTGTTTGATGCTGAGACTGTAGCCCTTGATGCCAAGAGAGAATCAGCCTTTCTTCGAAGTGAAAATCTGGAGCTGAAAGAGAAAATGGTAAGAAAGGTTTTAAAAGTTTGTAACAAAGCTGTTAGAATGATCAATACATTTTTGTGACTTCTTGGTGTTTCTCTTAATAGAAAGAACTTGCAAATACTTGCAAACAAATGGAAATTGATACTCAGTTATATCAAAGCCAGTTGGAGGCAAAAAAGAAAATGCAAGTTGATCTGGAGAAAGAATTACAATCTGCCTTTAATGAAATAACAAAACTCACCTCCCTTGTAGATGGCAAACTTCCAAAAGGTATTTCATAATTTCAGACATCTCTTTGCAAATCTGACTTCCTCTAAAAATGTATCCAAGTGATTTGGCCACAGTGTAGTAAGTAAAAATCCATTATTCTGTTTTCTTCAGTAAGTTAGTATTCAATTGGATTTGGTGGTCAGTGTTTATAAAGACTTCCACAAGGTTCAAATCATCACAGCTTAAATGATTTTTCAAATTCATTGGTCCTGATTTTGAGGAAGTTGGTTCAAGAGCGATTAAAAGTTAGATTACCATTGCCAGCATTGTTCTCTAAATTACCAAATGCTTCCTAGATGTGCTCTGCAATTTGGAATTGGAAAGGAGAATTGCAGATCTGCAGAAAGAACTAAGTAAAGAAGTTAAAGAAAATGAAGCTTTACAGAAAGAAATTAACTCACTTTCAGAGCTCAAATCTCTGCCCCCTGAAGTAGAAACACTGAGGAAAGAGGTGAGCAGAATTTTAAGCAATCAACCCTCATTTTGAAATAAAAATCTTTGAAATACTGCTTTAAGTATTTTGATACAGTTTATTTTTATGAAGCCGAAGAGAGAGACTGTATTCGTTTCACTCAGCTTATTAGCGGTGGAAAGGTGAATAGCTGTCTTCTGGCTTGGGCATGTCATTGTTTATGCACCGGAAGTGTGTTCACCAGTGCACCCGGCAGCATGACCCCTGTGCTCCTCATAGGTGGGCTTTCCCTGGTGCTCGTCTTTTCTCTACTAGTCCTATCACTGCATTGAGTAAAATAAATAAATAAAGCACTGAAGGGGTGGCATGGTAAAGCTCCAGGAGCCCATACGGGCTGTCAGGCAAGTGAATGATGCTGTAAGCCCACAGCCTGCCACCTTTTCATCCCTTTCTAGAAGAGATAAAAATGGCAGGAATCGAAGTAGTACTTACACATGCCAGTACTATACTAAAGGCCTTCAGAAGCACTGTTTTTAAATGATGTTACTTTTTAAAACTAGGCGGTATCCCTTCTCAGCCTTTTAGCTAACATGAACCATGAAAGTAAACTGCTGCCTTTTAGCACCAAAACAGTTACCAGACTAACAGCTGAGCCCAGAGAGCCGCCTCTTCCCCCGTGAGGGTGACCCCTGTGTGTTCCTCTTCCCTGGGCTGTCCTCTCTATTTCCCTCTCCCTGTGCTTTTCACAATGGTTTAGCTGTACATAAACTGGATATGGATTAACTTTTTAAATAATGCTTTTTAAATTTTAAACAATTAAGCATTATTTAAATTATTCTTTCATTAACTTTTTGGAAATCCGAGCTGCAGTCAAAGCCTTTTGAAAAAAAATAAGAAATTCTGAGAACCCCAAATGCCCGCTGCAGGGTACAGTTAGAAAATCCTTTAGAATGAGAGCGAGGAAATCAGCACCCTGTTGTTTCCACAGACTTCCTGCAACATGCGATCCCTGCGAGAACCCAAAGAGATTAGAAAACAGCCCCAAAGGTGAAGTTAGACAAGTTAGAGGAATGGGACAATAAGTCATTGCCTTTCCTCAGCCACAGCTTTCTTAATATAAATGACTGTCCTTCCCCCACAGGAAAACTTGTTCTCCTGAAAATTGCCGCACACTTCTAACATCCTCAGATCTTATTTCTGACCCGTAGATACAAGGTAAATTGGAGGAGCTCTGCATGGTAACATCAGAAAGAGACAGGCTGTGCTCCGAAGTGACCCAGAAGGAGAGCAGGATCCAAGGGTTACTTGAGGAAATTGGGGAAACTAAAGAGGACCTGACTGCTGCCCAGCTGAATTATCAAAACACTGAGCAAGAACTGCAAAATTTCAAAATTCTTCACACGGAATTGGAGCAAAAACATAAGCTGGTCCAAGAGGAGAATGAGAGAGTGAACCAGGAAGTGGAAAGTCTCTCCAGAGAAGCAGAAAACCTTCGTCTGAGTTTGGACGCTGTGAAGACCGAGGTTGGCGCCAAATGCTCTCTGGGAAATGCCGCTTGGTCTTGAAGTTTGATTTCTGCACGTGCCATAGAGTGCTGTGCTCTCACTGTGTCCTACCCGCTCTGTCTTCTCTTTCAGCTTTCTCACAACACCCCCGAGCTTCAGCAGAAAGCAGCTGAGGGTCAAGAGAGGCTGCTTGAGGTGGAGCAACTGAAGGAGGAGCTGGAGAGGAGAGATGCTCAGCTGCGAGCTACAGAAGAGGAGAAGGCACTGGTGACCAAGAGGCTGCAGCACACCCTGGAAGAAGTGTGCAGCTTGGCCCGGGAGAAGGAAGCCCTGAGCCAGCTCCGAGACAGCCTGCAGGCCGAGCGGGACCAGCTCCACAGCGACATCCAGGACACAGTGGGCATGGTACGGTGTGGCACTCGGGCCTAAGCTTGTGACAGGAGCCATCGCTTGTTACTTGTGACCAAGTAGCAGTTCTAAAATGACGACGCTTTCTGTTCTAACGTAAATCACTTCATGTTTCCCTATGAAGAATATAGACACTCAGGAACAGTTGCGAAATGCCCTGGAGTCCCTGAGGCAACACCAGGAAACAATTAACACCCTGAAAATGAGAATTTCCGAGGAGACGTCCAGGAACTTGCGTACAGAGGAAGACGTCAGAGAAACTGAGCGTGAATCTCACCAAAAGGTTAAGAGTGTTGATTTTCTAATTTTTCCTTATATTTCTATATAAACTTTATCTTTAATCCCAAATACTGGGATTTAATTATGAATTATTTAGTCTTAAATATGTCATGTAGTCTCAGTTTTATTAATTCACAATGGTAATAACCAACAGTATTACAAGCTTAACCTTAATGTCTTTAAAAGAGCTAATAAAACTGCTTACAATCAATTTGAAAAGGGCAAAAAAGATATTAATTCAGACTTTGAAGAGTTAATATTTTCTGAGACTTGATGTATTTTGAATATCTTTAAAGGCCTTTCTCAATCTTAACATGAAAGATTGACTACTATTAATTAATTATGGCTAAAACATTTATTTTATATCAGATTTTCTATACTAAAGTTGCTTAGAGTTCACAGTTCAGTCCATTACAGGGGAAGTTGCCTGTGAATTTACACAAAGGTGTGATTTGCTATAGCTTTCTCTTATCCCAAAATACCTTTAAACTACATATAACAGATGTTTAATAATATCTTTTACTTTTATTATACTCTATACCATTTAACCCAGCATGCTAACTACTATAATTTTAAAATATCCTTCAGTAGGAGTTGAGTAAAATAATCCTCACACATCCAGAGTTTAAAAAGTATATAGCATATATATTTCTTTAGTGTGTGGTAAAATGCTTATAATATAAAATGTACCACTTAATAATTTTAAGTCTATAGTTGAATAGTGTTAAGTTCTCACATATTATTGTACCACCAATTTTCAGAACTATTTTCATCTCGCAAAACTGAGACTCCATATCTATTAAATAACAACTCTGAGTTCAGATTTGCAGTGTACCTTGAGTATCATTACAGACAAGTGTTTCTATCTACATTATAAAGATACAAGCTTTTGAATTATAAAATCTTACAGACCAGCCCCAAAAGACTAATTAGTATGTCATGTAGTTAGCTCGGTGTTCATACTTTTTCCAGTCATTGAAATTGGAGCCAAGCAAAATCTGGTTTTATCTATATCCTCTATAGCAAACCAAGCAGCTACTAAAGATCACCATTTGAAGATTACTTAACAGCATGGGGAAACATGTACAACCTCAGTAGAAAAGATGGGCTAAAAACATCATACCTATATGTAAATTAAGAAGAATAGCTAATGATTATAAAAACCTTTTAATGGAAAAACTCTGGAAGAAAACATATTCTAATAGTGACTTTGTGCGGTTGATGGCCTTTTGGGGTGATTTTTTTTTCTTTTTTTTTCTAATGTGGTTATAGATCATTATAAATACTTCCAAAAACATGAGCTCAGTATGGGCTGAACTATGTCAACTTGTATCTTCCTTTCCCAGAAGTTCTCATATGTCAGGTTCCCTTTGGTTATGGTGTATTGATGGATTAATGAATTATTATGACATGCTTTTTTAAGAAGTATGGAAATATATATATTAACAAAAATAAATTATACTATTACAAAATGAGCTAGGTCTCTATCAAAATCATTTTGTCTTCTTGTAGAACTCCAGCTTCTTATGAGTAGAACTGCTCTGAAAAATGAAGTTTTATTGTTAGGAGAGGAGTTGGGAGGAAGCCGGGGGGGGGGGGGGGGAGATAAAGTAATAGAGTCCAAAGTCTATTGCTCCTTCCGCAAAAGTAAAAACAAAGCATTGCAAGTATGCATCTCAGAAAATGTTTATAGACCATGCATAGAAAGGAAGGGCATCTATCTTTTAGCTGGGTAAATGGTTTGAAGTAAGTCGGCGTCCATAAAGTCAGGTTAACCTGTACCTGGAGATCCTTATGCTATTGACAGCTGTCCAGGTCATTCTTGTCCATGAAAGGGTGCAGGGCACAGGCAGTGGCACGTGACTTTGGGCACGAAGCCTGGCCTCCCTGGAGCAACACTTCTGTACCAGGCAGGCAGGGACCATGATAGCACCGACCTCGACGGGTGGTGGGAAGACGAGATACGTTGAGATGAGGGAATAGTACCCGACACATAACAGTCCCTAAGTGTTGGCTGTTTTATTAAGTGTATTAAGGTGGTTGTTACTAAGTGCTTGAGAAATCCTTCTTTAATTTCTATTTTAGATGATTGGCGTAGATGAAAAACAGAATTTGGAAGCCAAAAGAACTGGAGCACTGACTGCAGATGTGGTGGACAGTGAGGTAGCTGAGCAACAAAAGAAGATAAGTTCTTTAATACAGGAGAAAAATGAACTTCAACAAATGTTAGAAAGTATTATAGCAGAAAAGGAACAACTGAGGACTGATCTAAAGGAAAATATTGAAATGGTAAGAGCACTATATGTATGTGGCGATACATTTTTGTCTTTGTTTTAGATTTCTACCAACTTTATGAGGTATAATCTATCAACAGTAAATGGACAGTTTGATGACTTTTGAGAAATCTATGGGCTCTACCTGTGAGCTCCCCTCACTGGAATTACGAGGTCACCGGGAGATGTACATTGAACTTCATGAGAATTTGCGCCACTGATTTCCAAGTCGGTTTTACCATTTCATATCCCCATCAGCAAATTAAGAGAATTCCAGGGGATTCAGACTCTCCCTCACCAACACTTCGTGTTTATTGGTGTGTTTCAGCTGTTCTGATAAATGTGGACCTTATTGTTTTCATTCACTTTTCCTTTGTGTTGAATGAGGGTGTTGAGCTTTTTTTCCTATGCTTCTTGGCTATTGCATGTCTTCTGTAATTTATTGTCTCAGTGATGTGTGATAGATTTTCAGTGTATAGATCATTTTACACATTTTCTTACATTTGTGCCAAAGTGTTATTCGTACTTATGCTGTTTTAACTTTTTAATTTTATTTTCAAATGTTGGTGTTGCCGATATTTTTACACTAGTTTTGATATCTGTATTTAGAGGCAATTAATACTGGTATAGGTTGAAATTAATAATTTGAGAAGTTCACTATGGATCACAGTGTTTTTTTGTTGTTTTAATTTTCCATGCTTCCTGGAAATAAGTGCTCAGACATTCATTCTATTCCATCTCTTGTTATATTTTTGTGCCCTTGATACCTGAGAACATCACTGTGAGTTTAATGACAGGTTAGTCCACCTCATGCCAGCACCGTGACTGCCACTCTGGACTTGCTAGTGATCAGTGCTTAAAACCAAAACTAGAGCTGGGCATGGTGGTGCACACCTGTAATCCCAGCACTCGGGAGGCTGAGGCCGGCCTGGGCTACAAAGTGAGCTCAAGGCCAGTCTGAACTGCATAGCGAGACCATCTGGAAAACCTGTAATGTTGGTCTCCTTTTCTGTCTCTGAAAGCTCAGCAGCTGCCTCTTGGTTTAGACATCAAAATAAGCTGAGCACTGGCAACAATGATAAATCTAACTGTGAGTATATGATGGAAATGTAAACTGAGTGATAACAAACAGATGAAAAGTAGATACTTAGCGTCTGTGTGTCAAAAGACTCCCTTTCTTTAGATTAGTCTTTTTTTATATAGTTTGCCCTAATTTATTTTGCAGGCTGAGATAGATTCTGATTTTTTTAACCTGATTTTATAAATATAAGCTAATATATATTTTAACCTCAACTTTTAAAAAATTCCAGACCATTGAAAATCAAGAAGAATTAAGAATTCTTGGAGATGAACTTAAAAAGCAACAAGAAATAGTAGCACAGGAAAAGAACTGTGCCATAAAGAAAGACAAAGAGCTTGCCAGGACCTGTGAGAGGCTGGCAGAAGTTGAAGAAAAGCTGAAGGAAAAGGTCAGTTCTTAAATCAGCCATTTTCCTGACTAAACTGTTTTCCATTCCCATACTCCTAAATGCACAATGAACAGATCTCATCGCTGATATTTCAGACAACTTCACTGTACTGGGTGAGATCTTAAGTAATGTTGCTTGTGAAGACTGTGTTATTCTAGAGTCCATAGTTGGGATGGGCCTGTGTCTTCTACACTAATCGTATGGCATTGGCATTGCTCAGCAGGCACTGTCCTGAGCACTTGAGATACATTAGCTAACAAAGATCCTGCCCGTATGAAGATGTACTGAGACTTAATCCCAAGTACCATCTCTTAATGTCTGCAGTTTCCTGAATAGAAGTGGGGCACTGTTGTAATACATGTGTAAGACCTAAGGCTCCTGTAGCAAACTGTATGGCCTGAGGGATTCTGAAACACACGCACAGAGATCTTTCTATTTAAGCTAAGAGCAAAGGTCCTAGAAGCACACAACTGTAGCAACCACTCTGAAAGCTTAGGGAAGAGTCCAGCCGTACCTCTTCTGGGCTTCTGGTGTTTCCCAGCTCCCCTGGGCATTTCTTGGCTTATAACCACACCACCCCCAGCTCTGCTTCTTCTTCACGTGCCCTTCTGGTCTGGGCCTCTCTGTCCTTTTCGACCTCCTATAAACTCATTGTCCTTGCCTTGAGAACCTGCCCTGCTCCATTCAGGTCTCTTGCTGGGCCTTCCTAATTACATCTGCAAATACCTGAATTTGGGGAAGGGCACGATTTAACCTCTTACAAACACTATGTCTAAAAGGTTAGTTTACTTTTTTAATGCTTCTTGACGATCTCTGTTGGAGTAATATGTGGGGCCATGTTAATGATTTTATGTAAAAATTTGGGGAAATATAGACAAAATGATAATTATAAAAATTTTATATCTTAAGAATGAACAACTCCAAGAAAAAGAACAACAGCTTCTTAATACCCAAGAGGAGATGAGTGCGATGCAGAGAAAGGTGAATGAAGTGGAGACTCTGAAGAATGAGCTGAAGAACCAAGAAGCCAGGTTGGAACACATGGAAACGGAGAGGCGTGAGCTGGCTCAGAAACTACACGAGAACTGCGAGGAAATGAAAGCCACGGCCAGGGAAAGAAATGCTCTGAGGGAGTTACGGGAGTCACTTGAAGTGGAAAGAGACCAACTTAAAGAACAGATAAGCAGGATGGAAGCTGCAGTAAGTTACACTGACTCAGAGGTTAGACTAAGGAATGTGTGTAGACATGTACACACACACAGGCACAGTGCTCTTTATTGATGGGAACCGCAAATGTGCTTTAGAAGGAAACTGGTAGCCGGGAGGACTATGTCAAAATCCCATGTGAGCTGGGCGTGGTGGCGCACTCCTATAATCGCAGCACTCAGGAGGCTGAGGCAGGAGGTGAAAACTCATTGTGAGTTGCAGCCTAAGCTGCATAATGAGACCCTGTCTCAAAAAGACAAAAAATTAAATTAAATTAAATTTAAAAATCCAATGTGACCCTTAAAGAAAGAAAGACGCAGGTTTGGGAGCCGCCCAGGAAGCCAGGCTGAGCTGAGGGCCACAGGCTGGCCCGCAGTGGGTCCACAGTGTGTTTGATTCTCCGGTAGGAAACAGTGCAGACATGGGCAAGGGGCGGCTGTAACTTCTGACAGCAGAGTGCAGAAGCAGAAGCATCAGTGTCTCGCTGAGGACTGGGGTCCCTTCGTTCAGCGTTAAGCTGTGTGACTCTCCTTCAGGTGCTGCAGAAGCAAGAGGAGCTCAGGATCGCTCATGTGAATCTGAAAGAATACCAGGAAACTACTGACGAGCTCAGACGGCTGGTTTCAGAGAAGACAGATGAAGTGTCGAATATGAAGATAGATTTAGAAAATTCCAGTGCTGAGTTACAAGAAAAGGTACGGGAGGGGAGCTTGTTTGACTGTGTGTCTGATTTGCTCTTTCCTAAAACTCTGTGGGATCTCAGGTCATTGGGAATTAGCAGGACGGCACTCACCGCGGTATCCCTGTGAGGCCCAGTGTCCCCTCCCAGGGTGTACACCCCAGCGGAAGAGATCAGAGACCCCAGGAGTGCCCACGGCAGCCTTCACAAAATAGTGCAGAATGGAAAATAGCCCAGGCGTCTGCCACAGGAGAACAGGCAAGGGCACGGCTGTGACGGTCACAAGCTGGCAAAGCCAGCCAGGGACGACGGGTCACCATAGTGCTCACTCCTAGGAGAGGTGCACAGGAGCATTGCAGGGTGCTGCGGTGTCCCCTGCTCTGGTCCGGATAATAGTTTTACATATGTCAGGAATAGTTAAGCTACACGCCTAAGATCAGTGTGCTTTACATTTTACCTCAAAAGAAAGTTGAGTGTGGATTTATGCAGGATATCAGTGAGAATAACATAAGAGAATACTCTAGGTGGCCCTGGGGACTGAACCCAGAACCTTTGCACTGAGCTACATCCACAGCCTTTTTTGTTTTCTGAGACAGGATCTCGCTGAGTTGCCCAGGTGGGGCTTGAAATTGCCACCCTCCTGCTTCTGCCTCCCAGAGTGCTCTACCATGCTCCATGGGGAAGATGACAGTCTTAATCTAGAAACTATTTTTAACCTTCTCTTTTTAAAAAGGCTGTATCTCCAGGTTTGGTACTGCACATCTGTAATCCCAGCATTCAGGCTGAGGCAGGAGGATCTCTGTAAGTTCAAGAGCCAGCCTGAACTGTATAGCAAGACCCTGTCTCCAAAAAAAAGGTTATATCCTAACATATTATTTTATGGTTTCCTTAAGATTCAAAAACTGAAGACGAATGAAAATCTACTTTTTAAATTAAAAGAAGATGTCAGCGAGACACAGAAACAGCTCAAGGACCAGAGCTTAACGCTAAGTAAAATGGAAATGGAAAATTTAAATTTGGCTCAGAAACTTCATGAAAACCTGGAAGAAATAAAATCTGTGGCAAAAGAAAGAGATCACCTGAGGAGCATAGAGGAGGCCCTCACACTGGAGAGAAACCAGCTCAGGAAGGCCCTGCAGGAGGCCGCAGCCAGAGTGAGTGGTGCGCCGTCCATCCCACTGCCTGGTCCACTTTCACTGACAGAGCGCCTCCTGCCATGAGAGCAGGTGGCCCTGTGCAGTGTCGTGATTCAGGAAACCCTTCCGCAGCTTCCGTTAAAAAGTTAGCGCAGTACACATTCGGTGCACAAGCTGCTCTTCCTGAGATGCGTCCTTGACGCAGGCACACATCTGGGCAGGGCACAGCAGTGTCCTCTGCAGGGGGGTTGAGGTGACCAAAGTCTAAAAGCCACCCCTATGGCCAGCAAGAGGGCCTTGGCTACTTGGGGTTCCTAGGTCTGGGGCATTTTCCAGGGTGCTGCTCTAGAAAGACTGCAAGTGAGGGGCTGGGGATTTAGCTCAGCAGCACAGCACCTGCCTGGCAAGCGCAAGGTCATGAGTTCAATTCCCGGTACCAGAAAAAAAAAAAAAAAAAGGGTGCAAGTGGCAGGACAGAAAGATGCAGGGCCGCAATAGTGGGGCCCAGGGTAGGAGGGACTCTGGGTCCCTCGGGCTGCTCCTGTGGGGGCGGGGTGCTTCTTTTTAACTGGTCGTGTGGTTTTTCACTTGTTTGAACTAATCATTAGAACAGTCAGTGTTGTTTTTTATCCCTAATAAAGGATCTGGAAGCACAGCAAGAACTAAAAATTGCTCATGAGCATTTGAAAGAACAACAAGAAACTATTGAGAAATTCAGAGAGAGGCTTTCAGAAAAGACCACTTGGATTTCAAACATGCAGAAATCTTTAGATCAATCAAAAGATGAATTACAGGAGAAGGTATGTGATGTTTTCTTCTTGTTTGGGGATTAAGTGTGTCCAGAATTATTTGCCAAATGAGAAGGGATATAGATATGTGAGTGTGAGTACAGACTGAGCATCCCTAACCCTAAAATCCAAAATGTGAAATGTTCTAAAATCCAAAACTTTTTGAGCATCAACTTAAAGTTGAAGAAATCAGAGTATTTTAGATTTCAGATTTTTGCATTGGGGATTCTCAGCCAGTAAAATCTGCAAATATTCCAAAATCAAAACCTCATTTCAGATAAGGGAAACTCAGCCTTCGTATATGTACAGATATAACGCAGGCACTTTCCCTTCGTTTGCATTCTAACTTGTTTTGTAATTATCTCAAGATCCAAGAACTTCAGCAAAAAGAGCTTCAGCTTCTTAAAGTAAAAGAAGATGTCAATAAAAGTCATAAAAAATTGAATGAAATGGAGCAATTGAGGCAGCAATTTGAGGCCCACACTGTGTCTGTGCCAAGTATGGATGTGGATAATTTGTACTTGACTAAGAAACTTCATGAAAACCTAGAAGAAATCAGGACGGTAGCTAAGGAGAACAGCAAGCTCAGGAGGATGAAAGAGTCTCTCGAAAGGGACAGAGGCCAGTTCAGAGAAGCCGGAAGGAAAGTGGTAGCTAGTTCAAGTTCACAGTCTTCCCCTCGCTGTGACCTCTCTGTAAGAATCAAGCTTTTTTGAAAAAAGAGCCAATATGGGGTGTTTTGTTGTTGTTTTCTGGAAATTTCTCTGAGCAGTAAAGGTTAGTGGGAAGATTTATACTAATTTTTACAAACTAGGAAACACGTTTTTCAAAGAGACACAAAAAAAAAATTTCCAGAAAACGCCACTTACTTTTTTATTTTTAAGAAAAAATGTAATAAATAAAGCAGCCTATTTTCCTTCATATAATTTCTTTAATATAATTTCTAAAGTTTTTTAAAACAGGAAACAGTGTTATTATAAATGAGATACTAAAAGATGAGACTTGTCATCAAGGATTAAAGCACTCATCTGTATAGCACTATTGTTAGAGTTCTAAAGATGGGCTCTTGCACTGGGCGTGGTGGTATTCACCTATAATCCCAGCACTTGGGAGGCTGAGGCAGGAGGATCATTATGAGTCCAAGGCCATCCTGAACTGCATAGCGAGACACTGTCTCAAAAAGACAAAAATAAATAAATAAATAAAAATGGGCTCTTACTGCTAAAACAGCTGGAATAGGAAAGGCAAGAAGAATATAGAAGTTTTTCTATATTCTTATAGAAGTTTTTTCTACATTCTTATAGAAGTTTTTCTATATTCTATACTCCTATGGGAAGTCAGAATAATATAGCTTAAAAGACTTAATCTAAGGAGAAACAAAACAAATAGCTGTATACAGTCTTTAGAAAATACTTTCATTTCCATAATTTAATAGAAAAGTAGATAACAGTATTATTTATAATCTCAGCAAAGCACTGACTACTTGACAGTCATCCTTATGCGGCCCTAACTGAACTGATAGAGGGATTTAATTTCACAAGTATTTATTGAAGGGCTGGTTGTTCTTCCGGGTACCACAGTGGATAGGTCAGCTGAGGAGGAGAAAGTGGGCTTTTTGTTTTGTACTTGTTAGTCAGAAATGTAGGCTATAAACGAGGTATTTTCTGTTGCAAGGTATGGGGAAGAATGTATCACCAGGGCTCGGAACATGAGCAGTGCAGGTGGTTTTGCGATTGTATGTACCGGGCAGGAGTAATTGCAATGCAGAGATTTGGAAGAGCAGGAAGCAGAAGTAAATCTGAAACCCAGTTTGCAATCATGGAGACAAAGTTCTGTCTCCGAGACTAGGTGGTTCTCCCACTTTGCCCCGTGGGGAGCGGTCATCACACCGAGACGTGGTAGCACTGCCGCTCACCTTCTGACGTGCAGTATTTGCTGCCATTGCTGAGTCTGACAGAAGTGTGTATGAGATGTTCCCTCTGAGTGTGGCTGACTGTTTGCTCCTTTGCCCAGGACCGTCGGCCCTGCAGGAAGGCCGTGCACTCTGGAAGGATGTTGCCCGGTGGTGGAGAGCAGCCTCTCTTGGGAAGCCTGAAGGAGAAGGGCCTCCGGATAGGAGTAAGTGTCCCTGTCACCCATGTGGGCCTGCTGTGCCCGGCAGGGGCTTCCTGGGCCTGGCACAGACTCACAGGGACCTCTGTAGGGGCAGCAACCACACGGTGTTTCCCTCAGCATTGCTGCCTGTAAGGGGTGTGCGTGCACACGTGTGCGCACCTGTGCAGACAGCAGGGGAGCACAGGACTGTGATGGCCTCCTGCACAGGGTACAGCAGAGCACATACCCGAAAGGCCCAGAGGGTCGTGCCACACAGCTGTCCAGAGGAAGAGCCATGTAGACAGGAACCTCATGCACAGCCGGCTTCCGGGCAGCCCCAGCCTGGTGGCCCAAGGAGCACAAGGAGCGGAGGCCAGTCAGAGCCAGGGCAGTGGTCACAGGTGGTGGGGCCTGACAGTTCTCGGGGTCTCCTCTGGGTGAGGAGAGCTGTCAAGAGCTATGACCGCAGGAGGCAGTGAGCTGACGCACACCAAGGGGACAGCGCACTGCTGCGCTGGCATAGCTTGGGAGCAGGAAGACATTTGAAGGACCGATTGCAGTGGTCCATCTTTGTCACATTCTTAGTAGCAGCCACTACTCAGTGTCATAATGTAATTCACACTCAAACCGATAGGACAGGAGTCTCCTCCCCGGGAACCAGACCAACAAACAGTAGGTTTTTTTACTGAACACCGAGGGCTCGTTGTGATGTTCCTTAGTACCCAGAAGTAAACATGGACTTGTGTGGGGACTGCAGCACGTGACCCGAACATGTCCTCCCCTGCTCCAGGGAGCGTGCTGCGCGACTGGTCACCCCATTGAGCGCTTCCGTGTGCCACCCCAGCTGTCGGCACCCGCCCCCAGGAGAGAGGTCATGCTGCTGCACTTGTGAGAGTGCAAGACAGGGAGCGTAGCATCGCCCATGGTGGCACAGCTGGCAAACTGATAGAACAAATAAGAATTTGATTCTGCCGGGTCTAAGTGTAGAAATTGTCCATTTGTACAAATATGATTTCATTTCTTCCTGGTTATAATGTCTGTGTCTATTTTGTAGGTTATACCCACATACATGTGTAGTTTATATGTTTCCTCTGATCCTCTAGAAAGTCATGATAATTACTGACGGGTCATGCTGTAGTTGAGCACAAGGCTTAGGGACTTCCTGTATCAGAAGGGACCAGAGCCCCAGCTCTGGTGAAGGGTTAGAAAACAGTCTCAGCCGATCAAGAGCGTGTCGGTGGCCTTCCCGAGGCAGCATAGGGCCAGTGGCCTTGGTTCCACATGGCCTCTGGTAACTCACACTGTCTGTGGGAACCTGTAGACCGCATTCAGCCATGAGAAACAGAAGATGTGAGATCGAGTTCACTCAGGTTTCCTGTCAGACTTGGCTGATGCTCGTTCAGATCATGAGGGCTCCAAAGACTAAAACAAAATGCACTGGCATTGTGACAGTATCATGGGGCTGGGGCACCCACCTAGCGGGCACAAGGCCCTGGCTTCAATCCCCAGCACCCTTGAAAAAGTGATGACAATGTTGTGTCTCGCTTTCTTCATTATTTTCCTCTATTATTTTAGTTCCCACAAATGTATTACTTCTATAATCCCAAATTATGTTTCTTTTTTTTTTAACATGAAGGTCTTTGTCTTTCCTACAGAAAGTGTGAAATAGAAGTTGTGTCACAGTATTAGCAGTACAGCTACTTACTATTAAACTGAATGAATTTTAATGTTCCTTTAGGAGCTTCTAAAGAGATACTCGGAGATGCGTAATCAATATGAATGCTTAAATGGATTGTCTCTTGACCTGGAGAAGGAACTTGTAATCAAGGAAGACCTTTCAACGAGAGTAAAAGCAAACCTCTCCCTTCCGTACCCAGAAACCAAACAGTTTCAAAAACTGCTCGCTACCAACCTGAACCGTTCCATGGAATTCCAAAGAGTCATCAAGAAACTTAAGGTACCACCATTTTTTAGTAATATCCAGGTAAACACAGCTGCAAACTTCAGGCACCACTCTCCGTGCATTGAAGTACTCTCAGGAATTCGTGATTTGCTAGTTAGAATCCTTACCACAAATACAAAGAGTATGCGGGCCCCAGAACACTGTGTAGGATTCTCAGTACACATAGTAGCCATTCACTCAACAAACCCAAGCTTTGCCCAGAGGCCTGGACACCAGGTCAGAGTGCTCAGGAGACAGATCTGAGTCTTGTCCCAGACATCTCGTACTCTGGTGGGTGAGGCAGCCGTGTAACCAGGGAACATGCAGGGATACTGGTGCATACAGGCAGCATGACATGGCACACGTTAGGAGTCACAGAAGAGAAGGCTGCGTGGAGGCTAGCCTGTGGCAGCAGGGTTGGGGCTGACTTGTAGATGATGGAGAGCCGAGGGACAGAGCCAAGGGACAGGTGTCTAGGTAGTGGGGGGAGCAGGAAGAGGATAGTGTGCAGCTCCTTCACCACTGAACTGAGAGGAGACGAGGGGCGGGTGCCATGAGAAACTGTGACTGTGCTGCTGGAGAGGTTTCCGGGGCCGAGAGGAGAAGACAGAGCAAAAAAACGGCAGCTTCAGAGCCAGGTTCCTGTGGTGATCGTACAGCTAAGGCAGACAAGTTGGACTGGGTCCCAGGATTTGTGACTGGCCAGGTTTGAGGCTAGTTGGTACCATTAACCAAGACGAAGAAGAAAGGAAGCGAAGCAGGGCATGAGGCAGGAGAGTTCAGGGATTTAGGGTGAGGTGTTTGAGGCTGAAATCCCCGTGATGAGACATCTAATAAGAGAAGCCAACTGGCATTCAGCTGTGAGTCTGAGGTTTGGCAGGGGAAAAGTCAGGGCTGAGGTCTGGGACTTGCTAGCAGACAAGTGGTAGGGAACACACTGCGTGAGCAGGGTCAGGTCCCGCGGAAGGCAGAGGGTCAGCAGTAGGGTGACAGCACCCTGGAGAAGCTCCGAGAGCTAGGGCTGGGGAGCAGGGCTTTCAGAGGCAGAAGAGAAGCAGGCAGAGTGCTTTCCCTCAAGTCGCAGAGCGGAATGCGTCAGCATGGAGCAAGATGGCCCCGCAGATGACCACGCAGTGTGGCTCGGGGGGAGAGGGGGGCAGGTTTTTGCCCTCCCCGATTGCCTCTCCGATCCCATAAACACACAGTCAGATCTCCAGAGCTCACTCCTGAACTCCACGAACATGTGACCTTGAAATGATCGTCGTGTTGCGGCCCAACATCTAAACACACTTGACAAGGAGACCTGAGGGTATGATGCACTTTCATTGATTGTACAACACAGGTGGCAGGAGAGGGTGCAGAAAATGCGTCCCGGGTGTCTGACTGGGAACTGTGTGGACAGCAGGGGGCAACAGGCTGAGGAGGGTTTAACCACAAAGCCACAAGTAAAAGTTTCACTCTCCAATGTATTTAATTTTTTTCTGCAAGAATGAACTAAGCTATGCAGCAGAGATAAAGGAGGAAGAGCATGGATCCATCAATAAGTTTGAAATGGCTCTCATTGATGAAGTAGAAAAGCAGGATGAACTGTACCTTAAAATGCGGCTCCTGCAGCAGGAGGACGCGGGGCCATCCTCAGAATCCAGGCACCGCAAGTTGAACGAGCTCCTGGATATGCATATTGAGGTACACTTTATTTTAAGTGGATTCAGTTAGATTTTAATCCTTCTTATCACATAGGCCTCCTTTCCACGTGCGCAAGGCCACTTTCATTTACCAGAAACGAACAGTGGGCTGCGGGGTGGCAACTGCCAAGACATAAAGACGGCCCGTGATAGGTCACTTGCCTTCCAATTGCCCCGGACGCAGGAGAGTGGGTGTAGCATGAGCAAGCAGGGCCTCGTGGAATCCCAGAATCGGTTTCCAAAACCTTTGCCGATAATTCTTCTGCTAGAAGACTAATACGCAGAATGTATAAAGGTCTCAAAAACAGTAGCCCCCTTCTGAAACTTCTTGCGTGTACCCAGGGAGTCAGAAAATCTTTCATCACAGCAGCTTCGCAGTTCCGTGCACGGCTGCCCGGCACCGAGGACCCTTGGTGCATGGGGACAACCAGTCACAGATGTGTGGTCCTGACAGAGTCCCGCTTTCACAGGCAGAATTGAGGATGTGCCTCTGTCACATAGAGGGTGCCGAAATGTTACTGCGAAGAAACGAAAGTTTTAAATCGGGGTTATATTTCGTAGTTTGCTTTAAATCATTATGAAGAATAAGAGTCCAGGAGATATTTACCTGTTTATGATATTTATGGTGCCGTACAGCTCATCTGATATTATGCAAACTTTCCTGGTGGCAGTTGCATATCTTTTTCACACAGGAAATTCTCAAAGACTTCTCAAAAAACGACTTCCCCAGCATAAAAATTGAACTTCAGCAAATACTGAATAATAGGAAAGAAATGATTCGGTTTTTGGAGGAGTGGCTGAGTACTCACTTTGACACAGAAAAACTCAAAAATGGCCTCCAGGAAGAATACGAGAGCATTTGCCAAGTGAATAGCTTCTATAATAACAAAATAACTGTAAGTATTGATGTTTTATGCGACCTCATCCTTGCTGTCCTTTGCTTTAATTTTTCTATCTTGTTTCTAGAATGGCTTGATTTTAAGTATGCCTTATTTATATATGCTTATGAAAAATTGACTTTGTGAAACCTTCCTCCTGTAGCATGTTATGCTTTAAAAAATTAAGTACTGTATATAAACCTAAACTATAAAGATAAGGGAACCTTAGTGTTTATATTTTGGATAACAGTCCGTTTTGAGGTGTGTCTTTTGCAGAAATGCATGCTCCTCAGTCCGCAGTTCATCTTTCCGGTCTCTCAGCACTACCTTTCACGATGCACATTTTAGTGTGAAGAAAGCCAGCTTGTTGGTTATGTCTTTCCTAGATCTTGCCTTTGTGGCCGTGGCTGAAAAATCGTTGTCAGACCCAAGGTCACCTGGGTGACCTCCTCAGGTCACCTCTGTTATGTACTAGGACTTTTACACAGTTTTTTACTTTATGTCAAAGCCCATGATCCATTTTAAGTTGTAAATTATATCATTGTGCTGTTCTGTTCTGTCTGACGAGGGCATACAGTCTGTGTCTGGCATCCTCTCTTTGCTTCGGATGAGCAGTTTGGTAGGGACATTGCTGAAATACTTCTTTCTCTCTGTGTGCTGTCTGTTCTCCTGTGTCAGACATGAGCCGCTTGTGGGATCTGTGGGATCCAGCTGCTCTTGTGCCCTACACACAGTTGTGCAGTTCCTGACATCCTAGATCAGGGATTTCCAAGTTGAAATTTTTATTATTCATCCCAAGATCCCAAGGTGATTGTCCCAAATGACTTGATTGCTAAGAAGCAACATTGCTCAAGGTGAGTTTGGTAACTTGCTTTGCTTCTTATTAATCAGTATGTCTGTTCTCTTTCTGACACTCCCTCCCACGTGTGACTGCTGAAATACAGTGTCAGAAGGTTGCTTCTGTGGTAGAACTGAGAGCAGAGGGCGCTGGGGTCAGTCATAGCCTCCAGGTCAGCTTATTCCATGTGTTTAAAGATTTCTCTTCTGACACTTGAATTTTATTTGTGAACAAACCATATTGAAATAAGAGATAATGCTTTTTAGATGAAACACTTTTAAATGGGTAGCTCATCTCATCTGTAGAATAGTAACCTGGTGAAACAGTAATTGACTCTTAAAAAATAGTCCACATCAACAAAGAAAGGCACAAAACCAGCATTTGACAAGGTAATCTCTGTATTTTTGGGTGCTTTTCTTATAATATTAAAGGCCCAGCTACAGTTAGGTTGAAAGCAGAGATCTCTCTGTGTGGGTCAGCATGGATATGTGGCCTCTTCTGGCACCATGAGAGTATAAATGGATAACTTTATGTGGTTTAAGGTCAGCAGACCAGGGCTGGAAATATAGCTCAGCGGAATCACACCTGCCTGGCAAACATGAGATCCCAAGTTCGATTCCTGGTACCACAAAAAAAAAAAAAAAAAAAAATGGTCAGCAGACCAGAGCCAAAAAGAGTCCAGGATGCCAGAAGGAACAAATTAATGGAAGAGTGAGCCAGGCGCAGTAGCATACACCAATAGTCCCACTCCTTGGGAGCCTGAAGCAGAAGGATTGCAATTTCAAGGCCAGCCTGAGCAACTTAGAAAGACCCTGTCTCAAAATAAAGTGACAAAAGGGGCTGGCAATGTAGCTCAATGGTGGAGTGTCCCTGGGTTCAGTCCGGAGTCCTGTAAGACCCTGTGCTAGCCGATTGACCGTAAAGCCTCAGAGAAATGATCAGTCAACCACAAGGTGTTAGTGACAAGCATGGAAAGTGCATTCTACAAGAAGTGAAAAGGTATGAGTAATTCTTTGATGTAGAAGAGAGTATTGATTAAATGCTTTCTCTAAACAGAAATATAGTATTTACACACTAATTACCAAATGTCAGGCGAGTCATTTCCCTAAAAACATGAGGAGTGGCATGAGTAGGAAGTGACTGCTAAGTTCACCAGCTCTCAGGCGTCAGCCAATTCCATCACCAGCTGTGGCCCAGCTAAGGTCTTCAGCCTGCACACTTCCATCTCCTCCCCAAGTGTCAGCACGACCCTGAATTGTGTCACTTCTGCAGACCAGTGAGCCCTGCCCAGCCTTACTCTGTGCATTCCCATTGTCAGCAGGAAGTACCTGGACCAGCAAGAACGGAAGCAACCACCAGGAACCCTGTTCCAGGGTGCACTACACAGTCGATGTCAGCATCTGCACTTTCCTGGGACTGTAGTGTTTTCTCACACTATTGCGGTATTTGCCGTTCACTAGGCCATGATAAATGAGTCCTCAGAGTTTGAAGAAAGAAGTGCTGCCAGGCGCAGAGAGTGGGAGCAGTACCTGGAATCTGCAAGAGAAGAAAGCAAGGCGCTGCTCAGAGACTGCGAGGTGCTGGCTGCCTCCTCAGTGTCCGGCGCCCATGGTGACCCCGCCACACAGGCCAACAGGAGTCCTCAGCTCACCCAAGGAGCTATGCAGCTGGCCACAGAGGTACAGTGTGTCCAACCACATCCTTCAGGGTTTATCTTCACCATGGCATGGGAGCAAACGTGTGCATGAAGTGATGTGAGCACATGCATGCATGTGTGTTTCTCTGTGTGTGTGTGTGTGTGAGAAGGAGAGATTGGCTGGGTTTTTATGTATAATTCTGTGGCCAACCACCTGAAACTAATTTTAAAGATAGACTATATCCACATCTTCCTTTGGATTGTAAAACAAGTAAATTATAGCTTAATTTGAATACCAGATTCATACTATATAGGTTATTGCCCTCTAGGTGTTGTCAGCATTCACTATAAATTCCCTAAGTCACATGGCTTTCTCTTGAAATGTAATCTCTAAAAAAAGAAAAAGAAATGTAATCCCTATGTGGAATAGACAGTAACTGGAAGAAAAATAGCTATTTAGCTTATCTGACTTTCATCAGTGCATTTTACATTGGTTATATTGCAGTCACAATAAAAACATAAGAGGCTGAAAGTATAGCAAGCCTGTTTCGCAGATTGCCTTGTGTGTAAGGATCAGTGTATTATTTGAATAATCCAGTGACATTGGGAGCGTCCCTTCCATGGGGGCTGGCAAACATGACCAGCATGCTGCGCTACTGTGATAGCACAGAGAATGCTGAGTAGGGAACCCGAGAGGAAGTTAGAGTTCAGGGATGGCGAACCTTTTAGAGCTTTCAGTGATAACAGACAGCTGGCTGTGACACATGTGCTGTAGGCTCGCCACAGCTGGTCTAGTTTATCATTTTTACCAAAACAAATAACTGATAATAAAACCAGTCACAAGTTCAATCATTAATTACCAATGGAAACTGGAAAATCACGAGTCCAGTGTTCTGATTTGCAGGTCGTTGTATAATTCCATCAGCTGATAGAGGTGAAACAGCGCAAAGATGAAACCTCCCTTCCAAAGCAGTAATTCACAGAAGCACGGGGAAATTCCATCCTCACTGACCCAAGCAATACCCCAGCAGATGTGGGCATGCGGAAGAGCGCAGCTCAGAAGTGCACCCAGCTGAGTGGGCTTTCTGGATGGCTATGTTGCTCACATAGTGAGGGAAAAGATCAAGGGCTTAATGTGTGATTTGCAACAGCAGCCTAGTTACCTGGGAAAGAGCAAGCCTGCTTCCTGTCCCTCCTTAAACAAAAATAAATTCTAGGTGGGACAAGACAAGAAAAATTAAAGTATGTGCATGTGAATAATATAAGCATGAAAAAGTCAGCTATTCAAGTTTATCCAAAGTTAATATATACTTGCAAAAAACTGGGAATAGCGTAAATATTCATTTGTAAGTGACTGATTAAATGATTGATGATGTTTGCATAAAATGAAATTTGTACTGACGAGAACAAAAAATGTGAGCAATCTGCATATGTTGACAGCGGAAAGCTCTGTGTGCCAGCATGTGTGGGTACCCACTGGAGTGTGTGGGCAGGGCTCCCCGGAAAGCTTTCCTGCTCCCTGACTCAGGGCCTTCTGCGGAGCTCTGTGCTCTTTTCATCTGTATCATTTAAGAATTTGCTGGCAGGTTATGTTAAATTTTGCCATTTTTAATCCAAAAATCTCCTATATGGAAGCAATAACATGACTGTAGATTGATATTTGGTTTTAATTTTCTGTCCTCTGTTAATGCAGCACTGCATTAAAGATGGTCATCTTTGTCTCAGCACCATACTGTGATTCTGACTTCACCCTGTGACTTATATGTGCTTCCTCTAACAGAAAATTCAGGGGCTGGAAATTTCCCTGCGTGAAGCTAAAGAAAGTGCTGTACATAAGGAAGACAAGATTATAAAGATGCAGAAAGAAATTGAAATGTCCCATGATATAATAGCAAAACTTCAAGCCAAAGTTAATGAATCAAATAAATTCCTTGAAAAATCAAATGAAATGATCCAAGCACTTCAGGTAACTTGTCATTTTATAAATAAAATTTATGTTTTCAAGCTGTTAAATTTGACAAATAATTTACTGCTATGTTCTTCTCTTTTACTACAACGTCCTAAAATTCCTGCAATGTCAAATTTCATTGTTCAAGCTAAAATAGGTGAATGGATAAATAACCTGTGGTACTCCATGTAGTGGAATATTACACAGCACTTAAGAGAAATGAGCTATCAAGTCATGCAAATGTGTGGAGAATCTTAAATGTATTGTTATGTGAAAGAGGCCAATCTGAAAAGGCCACGTACTATACATTTCCCAATAGGTGACATTTTAGGAAAGGCAGAACTAGAGAAACGGTAAAAAGATTGGCATGTGCTAGCAGGTAGGAGGAGGGAGAGGGGTAAGTAGGCTGAGCACAGGTACTCTGCCCTGCTGTGCTGCAGTCTTGAAGTGACTGCTAGTCTTGTGTCTGCACTGTTCCCAGCAGTAGCAAGGAAGGGACAGCTGTGTGTGAGAAGGCTGCGTTAGCCACAAGTCCGCTGATTGTTTTACAAGAAAAACGAACAGGTAGACAGCCTGTATATTACTCTGAGAAGAAACCAGATCCATTTGTGCCCACCTGAGCTTTCATCCTTCAGTACCAACTGTCTCCACGGTGCTCTGGGGCCTGAGGCCTGGGGCCTGGGTCCAGGTCTGAGGCGATGCTCCTGTTGCTGCCCGACGCTATCTCCTGTGCCCGGCTCACCCTTCTCCACCCATTTCATCATCTTTCTATTCTGCCAGTGTGTCCATTTTTTTCATTGGAAAAAAAGTACTTGTCTAAAGAAATAGAAGTTATGTCTTGAAGTCCTAGCTTCACATATACTTTGCATTAAATACCCAGTTACTGCTTGGTCAGGGTGATGCTGCTCTGGTTTTGGGTGTATTTGTAGTTTGCTCTTTTGAAACGTCCCTATTAGAGCAAAAGCAGCTAATGACTCTTTAAAACTAGAGAAATTGAGACTAATTTTTCTACTCCTCTCTATAAAAATTAGGACAAAGCTGCTTTAGGAGCTAAGCCATATAAGGAAGAAATTGAAGATCTCAAGACAAAGCTGGTGAAACTAGACCTGGAGAAGAAGCAGACTGCCAAGGAATTTGAGAAGAAGTATGTCTTTGTTCAGTCCTTATCAGTAGCACTCAGAGAAAGGGGGGATGCGCACTTGTGTTTATGTAGGATTTGACCAAGGTCTCTGTTGGCCTCTTAACTTCACCCTCTCTTCTTATTGTATGTTTGTATAAAGATAATACTTGGTTTAGAGGCAGCCAGCGCCCCAGAGCAGACCGTCTTTGTATTGATTTACCTCTGTTTACTGGTCTCCATTACAGCAGGCCCAGAGTCGTTTGTGCTGTAACATAATGGAAGGAATTTTCCACAGGGAGTCAGGAAACTGAACGTGGAGAGTATGCCGGGCACGAGCACATCGCTTTACCCAGGCTGCTCCATGTGTCGGGGCCTCGCGTCATAACAAAGGGAAAGGCCTGATTCCCTAAATATGTCTGAAGGTATCTTCTGGCTCCTACTACTTCTTAGTCCTGAATAAGTGTCTACTGCTGACTTGTAATTCTGCCCGAAAGGTAGCACTCTGTGAGTCTTCGTGCTTCTTTTTTTTTTCTTCTTTTTCCTTCACGCTTTTAACCAGCCTTCTTTGATGAGAACTTAGGGTTTCAGTGAAACTTAACACTGTTGAGTTCCTAATTACAAAGCGTGTTTAATCATAGGATGCTGAGCAGATATTTTCATAGTATGTTAAGAGTTGTTTTGTGTGCAGTGCTGGGGATTGAACCTGGCACCTCGCCTGTTCTAGGCAAGAGCTCTACTACTGAGCTATATCCCTGGAGAGGCCGGGCCCCACCTACCCGGAAATGCATCACAGGAGGCGATCCTCACCAAGGGTCCTGCTGCTTTAGTGTAAAAGTACTTGCTGATCTTCACACCTTTTTACTATTATTCTTGTTAGAATGACTTCTGCCCGCACCACCATAGAACATCAAGACGAAGTAATTCGGCGGTTGAAAGAAAATCTTAGAAGAAATCAACAAGTGCAAGATACCTCAAGTAAGTACGCAACTCGGGCATTTTCAGATCCACCCCATCTTCCTCTTCAGCGTAGTTTTGAAAACTGTGGTCTCACTTCTGTATTGCTACTAGATCTTTACTGTTTCCATATCACTGGAGATCCCTCACCACTGTGAACATTTAGCTGGTGCCAAGCACAGTCCGTAGTTTGAGCTTCCTGGGTGTCCTCGAAGGGCAGTAGTGCTATCAGCTCCATCTGGAAAACTTGTAGGGAAAAAGACAAGTGAAGATTCTCCACTACACGGGGTCAGGACATTAGCCTTGATTTGTGGGTGACCTTCACATCTGTGCAGGTTGGGGTTTCCTTACATGAAGCTCTTAGGGTTTTGGATTTTTCCAGATTCTGAAATATTTGCATAGGTATAATGAGATATATTGGGGCTGAGACCTAAGTCTGAACAGAAAGTTATGGTATTATGTTTCTTAGACCCTCATTTACATGGCCGGGAGATAATTTTACGTGATGTTTCCCACAATTCTGTGCATGGAACCAGATTTGTGTGCAGTGGGCCACCAGAAAGCAAAGCAGCCCCCTAGTCGCCACCCAGGGGACAGTCCAAGTTGTGCTCCTCAGGGCTGCGAGTGTTGGCTGTGGGCATCTCTGCCGTGTGGAGCACTTGCCGCCAGGTGCCGTTGGGTCAGCAAGTGTAGGTGGAGCCCTCAGGTGCCCTGTATGCTGGGACACAGAGGCCAGCACAGCTGGGGCAGCTGCCGCAGCAGGGGGTACAGAGGTCCTTATGAGCCACAGCTGGGGTGGAGTCAGCTGAGGATGAGTCCAGAGATATCAGAAGGGAGGCAGCTTCCGAGAAGGGGTGGAGTGCGGCTGCCAGAGTCACTCAGTGCGCTCAGTGGACCTCGGAGGTGAGTGAAGTCACCAGCCAGGGTGTTTGCCCCGCAGTGGTCACGGAGCCCAGGGACACGCAGCCTCCCCAGAAGCCCCTGACCTGCGGCGGGGGCAGCGGCATCGTGCAGAACACCAAGGCGCTCATCCTGAAGAGCGGGTACCTGCGGCTGGAGAAGGAGCTGGCAGGTCTGAAGCAGCAGAACGAGCGGCTGGAACAGCAGAAGAGCAAGCTGCTGAGGTGAGAGCAGGGCCCGGACCCTGGTGTGTGTGGGCTCTGAGTGGCATTTTTCCAAGAAAGACGAATGCGGTCACAGCTCCGGCTGTGTGTTAGTCGTCAGCAGAGGGAAGCGCAGGGCCTCTGAGGGGCCAGCAGCACAACCTCTTGCTTCGACTTTGTGAAAAGAGTTCATTGTGCAGCTTCTTCTCCCAGCGTAGATTAGGGTCTGTACGCCAGGCGTGCTGCTCAGACAGCAGACGAAAGTAGGGCAGAAGTATTCTCACAGATGCACAGTGCCTCGCAGTGAGGGCTCTGAACAAAGGCAGAACCTTCAGAAAGACGAGAGAGAGAACTGCAGTCCAGGGAAGTGGGTGAAGATCAAAATCGAAATCATCGAAAGAGATCCAGAAGACGGGTAGGAGGAGCTCGGTGGTGAAAGCAGGCACTGTGCCGCTGAGCTGTGTCCCTAGCCCAGGCGTGTCATTTCATAAAGGTTCACCCGCAAGTCAGAAGACTGCTGAGCAAGTTCTTACAGCACAGTAGAAATAGATAAGCCACGCCGGCTGATCCTGATTCATGTGAAAACCTACTGCTGTATTTTAAATTTTTTTTTCAACATTCCATAATCACAAAGTTTAGACACAGAAAGCATTAGGCTGGCGAGGCAAGATGGCTCACACCCTCAATCCCAGCACCCAGGAGGCTGAGACAGGAGGATCACTAGTTCAGAACCTAACCGAGCCTGAATTACAAGTTGTCTCAAAAACAAACAAGTAATAACAACAAAAAACATTAGATTGCAATGTCAGTGTGACAAAATGGTAAAATTTACTGTGTATTTTGCTGTGTTTTGGTTTTCCCACAGGGGCTGCACTTCGAGGTTGAGCAGTCTAAGAGTGTCTAAGAGTGTCCCATTTTTGTTTCCTTACACTCCAGCACTAACCAGCAACTTTCCAATGAGGTCAAAGCCTGGAAGGAAAGAACCCTCAACAGAGAGGCTCCCCAAGAAGTGACCTGTGGGAATTTGCCAGATCCACCCGCTCAGGTGCCTGGAACCCCTAAGAAGAGGCAAGACATCCCTGCTCAGTGTGGGGAGCGCAACGCACAAGCTCCCATGCCGAAGGACTCGCCCAAGGCTCGGTTTTTTGACCCCCGCTCCAAGTCCTTTCCGGGCCCTCGTCCAGTTCGCTACTTTGACAACTCGAGCCTAGGCCTTAGCCCAGGTAAGAAGACACAGGTGACACTGGTGACTCCTGAGTCCTGGGCCCATGGCCACCTTGGGCCAGGAGAGTGCGGCTGCGCCACCCCACTGGTGCTGGCCGGCTGCTGGCTCCACAGTGAGCCCGTTCCTCCAGCCACGGTGCTTGGCGCAGCTGCTTTTACCCAAGCGAAGTCTTTATTCTGCCCCTTAAGCCCTCCACGTCCCCGAGAGACAGGCGCTTTCTCAAGGACGCAGAGCCCTGCCTGCTAACAGATGCTCTGTGGGACCCTTCAGGGCAGTGCACGCCGGCACCTGCTGGGCGTGGTGACCGTGCCCCAGGCCCTCGGTCCTGGCGGAGTCATGCTCACCTACTCCACCAACAGCAGAGCTGGCCGAGCCACACTCTGTGTCTCGGGCAAGACCCACAGCGCAGTCCTGGCCCTCACTCCAGCCGAGGAGTCGGTGCGGGGGTGCGGATGGGCCCTGGCTTGTCCCGGCTATGGGTAATGGAGGCGTCGGGGTGAGCGCAGGCTGAGCCACGTGGTGCAGGGGAGGTGCAGCCGGCCGTTGCCCACCCCGCCTCGCAGCTTCTTGTGTGATGCGTTTATGAGGCGGGCCCTGCTGTGAGGTTGGAGGGAAGTGAGTTCTACAACTGAGGGGCTGTGTGGCCAGATGGGGCTGGATCCTGCAGAGTTGTGCCTGAGGGAAGGTGCCGGGTGGGCGCCCAGGAAGAGCGGGGGAGGGCCGGCCAGGGGTCAGTGTGTCTTGGGTGGGACAGGAATACGCCTCAGAGGCCCAGGCGCACTGGCCACATGGCCGCTTTCCCGAGCTCCCTCTGCCCTTGTCTGACCCCCGCCTCCGGGCAGTCTTCCACAGGGCTCATTTCGGTTTCTCTCTGCTTTCTCAGAGAAGCAGGCTGCAGACGCGGAGAACGTGGACCCCAGGGTCCTGCCCAGCGCCTCGCTGAGGGACGCACCGGAGTGCAGGATGCAGTAGGGCTGGTGGCCTGCAAGTCCAGCCGCCTGGGGCCGAGGCTCACGGCCCACCGTGTCCCCTCCCCTCCATGGCAGTGGCCAGCGGAAGCTCGGTTCGGCTTTCACTTGCCGCTGCAACTGGAAGATGAAGGAACAAGAATAGCTGACAATGGTGACAGCAAGGCCTGTTTGCATATAATGCTTTTAAATGTTGACTGCTTTATTTATTTATCTATTGTAAAGAATAAAGTTACAAGGGAAATTTTAGTCTGTCAGCGTTGGCACAAAGTGTACACAGCTTTGTTATTCACATAGCACTTGGATGTGAACAAAATTATAAACTTTTAAATGCATACACGCTGAATAAACGCGTACTTCTGAGTCACAACATGAATGGTTTGTTGGTAGGGCTCGTCCTCTGCTCTTGCTGACGGTCAGGAGGTTGCTATGAAAATACATGACACAAGCACTTGGGAGGCTGAGGCAGGAGGATTGTTGCAAGCTCGAGACCACTCTGGGCTACAAAGTGAGCTCAAGGTCAGCCTGAACTACATAGCAAGACCCTGTCTCAAAAAGACAGAAAAAGAAAATACATGACATACCTTCTAGATGTCAGTTCTTACGGGGCACCAGGGGCTACGTCCTCTCACTTGCCGCCCTGATGTCCCTTGGATTTTAACCCTTCTTTCTCATCAGCCCCTTGCCCTCCCCTGCCCGGCCCCGGGTCGGCCTGGGTTCTGTGTGGCTCTGTGCCACTCACACAGCACTCCCAGCTGGAAGCAGTTTACAGACTCGTCCTACCACTCACACCAGAGCAGAAGCAGAACTGGAGTCCCTGCCAGTCTTCTGACCCAGCTCCCACACACCCATAGCACACGTGGACGGGTTTTGTGCATCCACAGGACTCCTTAGATCTGGTGCTGTTGTGTGAGGGTCAATGTTTCGAGGGTGCTAGGGCCTGTGCCACACCATATCGTATTCTCAGAGATACCGCAGCCCTCAGATGGCTTAACAACTGTGGATCTAGGAAGCACCTAACACAGTCATGCGGCGGGACTGGACCACTTGGAAACTCATGGGTGCTTGATGCGTTTTGACATCAAAATTCTGTCCCAGTACTTGTCACTGGTGTGGTACTTCACATGCAAGCTGGAACTTGCCGGTGTGGATGCCTCGCAGCCGGAACGGTCCAGTGCAAGTCTTCTGTGGCTCTCCTTAGGCCTCTGGAAACCAGTGGACTGAAGACCTGGGTGCCACCATTTTGCTCTGGGCCATATGACAGAAACACTAATTAAAACAGCTGTGCACAAGATCATCCAAAGGTGAAGTGACGGTAAGACAACCTTGGCTCTCTGGTAAGTTTTATTTAAAGGGGAAGAGTATAGATTACATGATATACATTATTTTAAAGCCTGGGGATTGGGCATTTTCCCTAAGCACACTACCATAGGGATTCACTCAGACCTAGGGGAAAACGATCCCTTGTGTATCCTTTTCAGACCTGGCCCTCCAAATCTGACTTTCCTCATCCTAACAAGACGCCATAGCTGAGCTGCATGTGTGCTTTCTGATGTTCGCTCCTCCACTGAACAAAAAGTAACACGAAGTAGTGGCACAGTTCCCTTAACAGGAAAACTGCTTTACGGCTGTTGAAAGTATGATTACGCCAGGTGTGCACACCTCTCATTCCAGCTACTCAACAGTCGGAGCATGAGGATTGACAGTTGGAGCCCAGCCTGGGCCACTCCATGAGACCCTCAGTCTATAAGTCTCACAGTTTAACAGGGCGGGGGGCCTTATGAGTGGCAGAGTGCTTGCTGTGTAAGCACAAGATCCTGGGTTTGTGCCCCAGTCAAGGCACACAAAAATGCATGCATATTAACAGCTTTGCCATTGCTGGGGAAAACCCCGGGCACAACTGTAAAGGAGAGGTTTATTTAGGCTCACGGTTACAGAGGTACCAGTTCATGGTCAACCGACCAAGGTAGAAACATTGAGGTGGGAGAACATGGCAGAAAAGCTGTGCAACTCCTGAAACCAAGGAGGCAGAGCACAGGCAAAAAGCCTGAGGGAGGGCCAGGGACCACCTACAGTCAGGCTGGGTCCTCCCCTCAGCCTGCTATCCTGCACGCCATTCATCTCCAGAAATGCCCATGGACACACCTGGAAGTGCGCTTTCCTAATTTCCTGGACATCTCTCCACCCAGATGAGGTGACAGTCAGACCTACCAGTCACAGTGCCACTCCCACCTGATTACAGGGTGCTGCTCTGCCCACCCAGCAGCACTCGGTGGGAAGGGTTATGTGTCACCCAGCTCTCAATGGACAGCGCAGCTCAAACGGTGGCTGGTGGAAAACATTTAGTTTCTGTTAAGGCCCAGCAGCAAGCAAAGGGCTCTTTGTGCAAATGACGGCAGGGGTGTCACTCCAAACCCCAGGGGGCCTTCAGGCCATTCACCATGGAGTTCCCAAACCTCCCCACTTCCTGACACCCCAAATGCCCCAAGGTTCATCTGCTCTCCTGCCCCAGGGAGCAGAGCCTCCTGTGCTCCTGGGCCCATGTACTGTAGCAGCAGAATGGGATGGCGTCACATGCAACCAGGTTCGAACAGGTCCTGAGCCTAGAGGGTAAAGCCACAGTGGACAGAGGGACGACTTCAGGGAAGAGCTGGGCACACACAGAAATATAAAGGAGGTTTAAACATCAAGAAGAGCAATTCTCAGCACCAATTATAACAATGTCTGTGACGGTAGGTAACCGTTTTCACCAGCATGTGTTAAGCAAGTGTTAGGCAAAGTCGGCCAATGGGCTCCAAGTCGTCCCTCCTCCCACACACCAAGACGATGCCACCCCACAGATGGGAAACCCAAGAGGTCAGGAGCTGGGCGGAGTTTGCTTCCTCACCGAGCGGGGACACATGGGCCAGCCTGGATATTTTTCCTTCAATCTTTAGACCCTAACCACTGTGCATGCTGAGACTCACTTCGCTCCAAGTGACAGAGCAAACCTGAAAACCAGCCCCCGGAGGAAGCTTTTCACGGCAGTTAAATCCAGATTTGACCCAAGGCCAGAACCTGGGGCCCCGCTCCTTCTCGGGCTGTGCTCTGGCCTCACAAAAACCACAAACTAGCTGAGTGGGGGTGTGAGGAGCTGTGTGGGTGTTGAGAAAGGGGACAGGGGATCGAGACATGGAGGGAAGGGCGGGGACCGGGACAGAAGAATTGAGGTGTGTGAAGTCTGTGCACAGCTCCCTCCGGGAATTCGATCATTTCGTCTGGCACACATGCGCTAATAAAAAGTGAGCAAACCCGAAATAAAACTGAAAAACCCGAGGCAGCAGCACAGAAACCGCGCGGTCACTGCTCCTGACACCAGGCACAGACGTGCGGGTCACCAGCCTCACCCAGTGGCTCCCGCGACCTGCTCCTGTTGGGGCCTTGTCTCCGCACTCTTGCTGTTACCCCCGAGCTCTTCCTCGCAGGCCTGGGACCCCACCTCCCCACCCCCAGTGCAGAAGGGCTGCGGGCGTTCTGCCGGCAACGTGGGCTGGAGTTGGAACACACCGTGCATCGCGACTGACAGCCACGGTGGAACCCTAGTGAACCGAAATTCAGGGCTTGTGAAGGTCCGAATCCTCAGTGGCCTGGGTTCCTTCGTTTCCCCAGCCAGTCCCGACCACCCTGGAGCAGCACTTAGGCACAAAGCAAGGAGAGGTGTGCACCTCCAAGAAAGCGGCAAGCGGCAAGCTGCAAACCGCTGTTCCAAGCTCTCCTTCTCCTTGGAGTGAAGTTCCAGATCCCACCACCAGGTGGCAGCTCACACACAAAGTGAACGGCTGGAGAGATTCCTTTCGTAAACTTCAAGACCCGAGCTGTGGGCAGTGCAGACAGATCCCGGACTACAAGTCCCAGCGTGCGTCCCTGAGCGCCTGACTGCTCAGCACGAAGGTCTCTGCTGCTGCTTCTCGCCCGAGGGCTGTCTGCCTCCCCGCAGGTAAGATTTCCTAAGGTTTCCCGGTGAACTCCAGGCTGGAGGAGTTTTGACTTTGAAGGCTTCTGTGCCCCGTACCTCTTTTGAGTTTAACCCTAGCAGACGAGGACGAGTTGTAAACAAGCCTTAACGCGCTCCAAGCTCTCCCCTGACTGTGTCCAAGTAGCCAGAGGGGAACTTTTGCCGTCTCTGCCCGGTGTGAACATTTCACTTTGTGAGAAAATGTCCTCTGTGCCTGCTGACTGAAAATTACCCTCTTTGCCCCAGGACTTATCAGAGAGCCAGCGTTCTGGGTTTTCACCCGGGAGCTGCTGAGAGGCGCTGATCCGTTCCCTCTTCCTGCGGTTTGCACTGTTCTCCCGAGGAAATCGCCCTGGTCAGAGCCCGGGCCTGGGCCCAGCGCAACAAGGTCCTCCGCTCACTGTTCACTGAGTGCGTCCCCAACACCCGAGATTTCTTCCCAATCCCCAGCCCCTCCGTGTCGGCTTAGGGTCAGGGCTCAGCACCTTCCTAAAGGGCCTGTCTGGTGCTGTCCGCCTTCCATGTGTCCCCAGCAGGGAAACCTGGGTGTCTGGAAGGAAGGGACACATTGGAGAGGAAAGCCGGGCTGCCTGAGCGCTCCCACAGCCCCTGAGGCTGCTGCACACCCTCTGTGGGCCATCAGCGCAGGTGCAGCTCACTTCGCTCCTGCTGTTCCCTAAGGAAGAGACCTCTTCCCCACCTTGGGCCTCCTATGTGGATGGGTTATGTGGATCAGGCCGGTGAAATCTGGGCGGAGACTCCTGAGCGCTTTCTTCTCCAGTAGAAAAGGAGGCCTTTCTGAAAGACGTTGGCTTTTGCTCCTCCCTTTGCCCCTGCCTGGGATTCAGAGGCGAGGATGAGTTGGGCCAGAGCAGCCATATTGCGCTTTAGGATGAGGTCAGAGCAGGAGCCTGGCCAAGGCCGTGTGACCCCCATCACTCCTGTCCCGTCACCGTGGTGCTGTCACACAATGGCCGTGCCGCACGTGGGCCCGGATTCCCCAGGGGGCCTGCCCCCTCAGACCTGCAGGCGATGTCCGGTGAAATGTCTCCTCGGCCTGGTGACCTGCAGCAGAGCAGCGACGGCCCCGTGCAGGCTGCCAAGGCTTGGCCCTGCCTGTGCCGTCGAGTGGCCCGGGGACCTGGGCCAGGTGCTGCTTCCGCGTCTGTGGAGTGGGGACGCGGGACATGACTTCATTCCAGGTCCTTTTGTTCATGGATCGGAGGCCAAATCCGAAATCTCCACACGGGACCAGGATATGCACACTCGGTTGACAGTGCAGACTCTGACAATGAGAGGAGCACCGAGTCGAGTCCCAGGAAGGGACTCGGAGCCACTGCTGTGGGCAGGGTGGGGCGGGGACCCGGTGACGGTCTCACTGGCAGCATCCCCTCTGCAGAAGCGGCCAGGAGGGCGAGGCCCAGCACCCTGGGCACTGTCGCAGCCGAGGTGGAGCTGCCGCTTCTGAGATGCACACCAGGCACCGGAGGAGCGGTGGTCCAGACACCAGACCTTCTGCCAGGCACCAGCTTCAGTTCTTAGGGCTCATGCCGAAGGGACAACCACCAGTGCACCCCCTCTCCTTGCCCCACAGGTCCCCATGGGCAGACTTGACGGCAAAGTCATCGTCCTGACTGCGGCCGCGCAGGGCATTGGCCGAGCAGCAGCCCTGGTGAGTCGTCGGCCCACCCTGCTTTGAAGGACTGAGCCCTGTGTACCAGCACTGAGACTCCTTTGTTCTGCCCCCGTTTTCTGGTGCTGGGGCTGGAAGCCAGGGCCTGGGGCCGCTGGACAGGGCTCTTACAGGAGTGAAGGGCTGCCCAGACTTGTCTTTTCTAAATTAGCTTGTAGGTTTCTGTTGTCTTAAATTACAAATGTCACTGCTGCCGGCCTAGAGGAAGGAAGGATGCCTCTGCCTTATGACGGGCCCTCGCTGTGACCACCGCAGACTCCAGGAAATGCATTTCTGTGCACCATACAGCACTGCAGGGGCCACGGGTGCGTGGCTTTCTGATCACCATTTCAGACTCAGGGCTCCAGAGTCATAAACATCAGGGGACCTTTGTCCTCTCCTGCCTCATCCCCACAGAGCTGGAATGCTCTAAGCAGAACAGGAGGTGGAACGAAGCGTTCCTGCTGTCCCTGGAGGAGAAATGACCCTTTTCCTCTCCTATCCCTCCCCTTCTCTCCTTTCGTTTCTTTTCACTTCGTTTCCAGTCCTAGGGGTTGAACCCAGGGCCTTGCACATGCTAGGTAAGCACTCTGTCCCTGAGCTCCACCCCCATCCCTTTTCTTTTCTCATTTTGAGACAGGATCTGGCTAAATTTCCCAAGCTGGGTGGAATTTGCGGTCCTCTTTACTCGGCCTCCTGAGAAACTGGGATTACAGACATGCACCACAATACCCAGCCAATTTTCCCTTATTTGGAGTTTAGTTACCTGCTCAGAAATGGTATATAGGCTGTGATAATAGACTAGCAGTATTTGAGAGGTGTTAAAAATAGAATTATAGTTTTTTTAAGAAACACTGTCTTGTTCGAGGGCCACATCAGATGACCAGTGCTGTATATGCCACATTGTGCTGGTGAATGACAGAGGTGACAGTGGGATGGGTGGTGAGACTGGAGAGTCTGAGATCCCACCCGTTTTATAGAGTCCACCCGTCTTATAACAACAGTGAAACTAAGGTAGAAGAAGACCAGTGATTCGCATTCATGAGGGTGCCTTCACCCCTGGGAAACAAAGAATGTGTTTGTGCTCCTTGTCCTCAGGCTTTTGCAAAAGAAGGCGCCAGAGTCATAGCCACCGATATCAATGAGTCCAAACTCCAAGAGCTGGAAGAGTGCCCGGGTAAGCAAGGCAGCGCGGTAAGTGAGAAGCAAGGTCTGCAGGCGGGCAGGGTCGGGCATGCGCAGAGAGAGACTCTCTGGCCCCCTGCTAGACCCGGCCCTTTGCTCTCAGGCTGTTCTGGGAAGCACCCGACACTCTGTGTGCTTAATTGTTTGAGAGAGGTGGACCTCGAGTGTTTTATTTACCCAGTGTCTTCAGAGATTTACTCGCTGGCTGCAAAGTTATGTGTGAAAATGAGCACTTGCGATGTTGACTGTGAGTGACACCTTTCTGCTCTGTCCCTTCCTCCTGCAGTAAGAATGTGACATGTGCCTCCTGTGTGTTTGCAGATTTCCAAGTAGGCAAATAAAAAAGCAAACAGAGACAGGTGGAAACTAGTTTGTCTTTTGGGGGGGGTACAGGGAATTGAACTCAGGACCTCACGCTTTCAGGGCGGGCTCTGTGCCACTGAGCTATATCCCCAGCCCTAGTTTTAATAATATATTTATTTAACCCAGTATATTTAAAATATCATCTCAACATGTCGATATTAAAAACTATTAAGAGAATATTTTACCTTTCTTCATATTAAGTATTTCTACTTACACTATATGAGCTTCAAACATTGTCTTTTTTCAGAATTATTGAGACATAGTTAATAAAAATTGTGTGTATTCAAGGTGTATATGATATTTGTGTGTGTGTGCTAGGCACTGAAGCCAGGGCCTCGGGCCTGGTAAGCAGGTGCTGTTTTTTCTTTTTCCCTGTTTGTTTTTCTTTGTTTCTGGTGCTGGGGAGCAAGCCCAGGGCCTTCCCGAGCCAGGCGAGCCCCGTACTGAGCCCCCTCCCAGCCCCGAGTCGTGTTTGACACACGCGTGCAGTATAGTGTGAATAATCACCACGCCAGGGTCATACACCTCACACAATCCTGCGTGCGTCTGCGTGTCTCTGCGTGCGTCTCTGTGTGTGTCCCCGTGGGTGCCTGTCTATGAGTGTCTGTGTGTAGGGAGAATCCTCACCGTTTACTGCCCCTGTCAGTTCTGAGTACACAGTTCTGAGTACACACCATGTGCAGCGCTGTACTGAGCCTGGGTCTTCACAACTGCGCCGTCGTAGGCCACAAGGTCGGACCCTGACCAACACTGCAGCTGTGTTGCCGGAGTATCCAGACCCACACTCACTCCACGCACACACACTGCAGTCCCAGCTCGCTCTGCTCCCGGTGCCGCCAGCCGGGTGTGGGAGCAGCTGCTCCAGACAGCCTGGCCCCGGCCCGCATCCTTCAGGGACCCCGAAGGGTTGCGGGTGGAGGACCCACCCAGGAGGCAGTGGGGTGGGCCGGTTACACAGCCCCGAGCTCGAGTGGCACAGAGAAGTCCTCCTAAATCCAAACTTCAGCCTTATTTTCTTTATTAATCTTTTCTCTCTTTTTTTTTAAATCTTTTCTTCCTATATCCAAAATAATCCTTAAACCATATGTGTTAATTTTATTTGCATACTGGGGCTTGAACCTGGGGCCCTCACACTGAGCTATCTCCCTGGTCCTTTTATTAAGTGGCCCAGGCCTTGCTCAATCTTACTGTCCTTCTGCCTCAGCCTCCCAGAGTACTGGGGTTACAGCCACATGTGACCACAGCCAGCCCTAAGTAAATGCTGCTTGTACTAGAGAATGGGATTTGCTTCTCAGACCCCGTGCTGGGTCCCTTGTAGCCAGCCTTTAAATTGACTGAGAGTTATTTCTGAAAAAAAAAAAAAAAAAAAAAAAAACAGAAAAGACATCAGAAGTGAAGCTTATAAATAGCAACAGGTTGTGCCCCGCAGCCACCACCCTTCCTTCACCCCTAACTCCTGCAGAACTCAGGACACAGCACCCACACCCAGGCTCCCGCAGACAACCAGCTGGTGGGGCCAGTCATACCTCCCTGTAAACTTGCTAACTTGCTCCTTGAAAGACCCTTATAACTCAACTCCGAAGCAGAGCAGCAGGGGAAGAAATGGGTGTGTTATTGAGCTTGTCATGCTGGAATTTTAAAGCTGGGTGGCACAAACGTAATCACAACACTCTGGGAGGCTGAGACAGGAGAAGCCCAACTTTGAGTCCATCATGTACCCCCAAGCAAGACCTTGTCTCAAAATAAAAATGAAGCGTGTGTGTGTGTGGAGTGGGGGGTGGGTGTTGTGTGCTAGAGATGTAGCTCAGTGTGAAAACCCTAGGTTCAATCCCCAGTGCCCGGAAAAAAAGATGAGACTGTGAGATTTTTACATTTTAATGAGATTCTACATTTCAGTAGATGTAATGGTTAAGACCACAGTGATCAACGGTGCTCCACAGCCTACCTGAGCAGAGTAGCATTCTGTAAACCACAGCTCTCCCCCCGGAGGAGAGCCTCCCTGAGCTGTAAGTGACAGAGCCTGCTCTTACCCTTCAGGTATTCAGACCCGCGTCCTGGATGTCACAAAGAAGAAGCAAATCGATCAGTTCTCCAGGGAAGTGGGCAGGGTTGATGTTCTCTGTAACGTTGCTGGGTAATGTATACCTTTTGATGTCACTTTCCTTTCGGAATCTTTTCTGTTACTCTTATTAGGATCATTTTGATAGCACGGTGAGGTTGTTCACTGAGGACCGCGATCTGTTCCGTGGGGATACGGCGGGACCGGGGCAGGTTTTCGTCACAGGAGCTCAGCGAGCAGCACAGTCACGGAGGGCGGCCCGAGCGGGGCCCCCGCCAGCTGTGACCCGCGTGACTGCGCGTGGACACTGACGGGAAGCAGAGGTTTCTCGTTATCTGTTTACAAATGCTCTGCGTGGACTCGTGGAGGAGCGTGCCAGGGACGTGGTGGACACAGCAGTGTCAGAGCGCGCGGGACGGCTCAGCAGCGGGGAGGGGACATAGAGGCAGCGCGAGGGTCCTGCCAGCAGGAGGGCCGGCGGTCCTGCGGAAAGCGGCGGGTCATGGCGCATTACATAATCTGGGTGCGGAGGAGCCAGTCACACCCGTGTGCTGATGGCGGGCTTTGTTCTGTTCCGCCTTGTCTGTCCACCGTGTTAGAAGTGACCCTGGCAAAGAGGCTCGACCCCGGAGATGCTAGGTCTGTGCTTCGCCTGCTTTGCGTTCCTGGAGAATGCTCGCTCCGCGCCACCGGGGGGCGCTGTTGCTCTTGAACTAGAAAAAGGAGGGCGGCTGTCCCCTCACTTCTGCGCTGTTTTCACTTGCACGTCCAGTGCGCCTGACGCCGTGCTTCTTACACTCGGTGGCCCCAAACTCTTGCCCTTGTCTCTAGAAGAAGGACATTACAGTTTTAGCTTAAGTCTCTGGGATTTGTACTAGCATACTGCGATGCTCCCTGCGAATCGCTGAAAGTCTTGCTGAGGGAGAAGACGTTGGCTTGGTAAATAATGGAAATACATATGGCCGACAGATGGGTTGGAAATCTTTCTCTGGCGGTTCTGTTGCTGTTTTTGAGGTTCCTTGGTTGTGTCTTTGGTGTTTTCTTTGTCTGCTTGGCGCAGACAAGGGATCCACCTGCTGTAGGTCTGAAGTGTTTGGGGGTTGTGCCCAGGCCCTCAAGCGGGCCAAGCAAGCGCTCTGCCACCGAGCTGCGTCCCGCCCTTGATGGCCATTTCTCCCCGCCGTTTCTTCACCGTCCAGGTTCGTCCACCACGGAACCATCCTGGACTGCGAGGAGACGGACTGGGACTTCTCCATGAACCTCAACGTGCGCAGCATGTTCCTGATGACCAAGGCGTTCCTGCCCAAGGTGAGGCAGCCTCCACCATGGTAGGCACACAGCCGTCTCCACGCTGGGCACCCAGGAGGGACCTGCGTGTGCTGGAAGTGACAGCAGCTAAGGGCAGGCTGGCTTCATTCATGACCTTTAGTAACAGTTCACTTCCAGGCTCGTGCCTGGAGGGAATATTTCCTAAAGGGGGACAGCAAGGAGCAGTCCTGCTTGATCACGTCCTCTGGCCACCCAGGTCTCATCATGAGCACATGGGTGGAACCCAAATATGCAGCTCTCTGAACCCAGTATCCAGGCACAGGCCTCTAGGACCCATGTCCCCGGCTTCTGTCTGGGTGAGCCTAGAATTAGCCCTGCTCCAGGCTGGAACAGAGCCCCCGTGAACCGCAGAAAGGAGGTTTTGCTCCACCACGCTGGCTTGGGTCACTGGCAGCTCTGAATGCCGCCGAGCCAGGACTGACCGGAGCTTTGCTGACGGCACAGCAGGGCTGGAGGATACTTTGCTCGGATATTCAGCCAGTGACAGGGAGATTAGCACTGATCTGATAATGAAGGAGCTGTTTAACCCCGGTTTGTGCCTGGAAGGATCTATGGGTGCTTCAGCAAATGCTGAACTAGCCATTTTTTATATGTGAATTCGTTTTTCAGCCTGTTTGGAGCTTATGAGACGTAATGCACTTGGAGTTTGCATGCATTCTCTGAAGACAGGATATGGGGGTGGGTGGAGCAGAGGCCCTGGTAGGAGGGGAGAGCTTAGGTCACCCTGGGGAAGGCGTCACATGTAAGGGATCCACCTGCTGTAGGTCTGAAGTGTTTCTCCAACACTCGTCAAGGAAGGAGGTGTGGAGTACAGAGATGCTGAGGTTTAAACTCGTGTGAACTTTGTGTGTCAATATCAACTGGCAAATTACTGAGCTTGCCTTAACTTAAGGCATCTACTGTAACAGTGTCCGCACAAGGCACTGACACGCACCTGTGAAATAGCCAGAGACATTTACGACCAGGCTGTGGGAGCAGAAGGATCCGGGGCCACTGTTTAAAGTGACTGTGCCTCACTGGGCTCAGGATCGTGGACTCTGGCATCAAGTTCCTGTGCACATCTGGCTCTGTCCCAGATCAGCCGTGGGGCATGGCACGGGCTCTCTCCTAGTGTTTAGATCTTCTGTCTAAAAACAAGAGTGATGGATGGCACTGTCACTTCCAGCCCTGATTTTCTAGGGGTTCCCTGCATGTCATTAACCATGACACACACCCCGGGCTGGAGCTTTGGAGGTGAAGCGTGATTGACAGCCGGCACAGTGCTAAAATGTGAAGTTGGCCTGGCACCTGATATTTGAAGGTCTTTTATGTCTGTGTATAGATGCGTGGATCAGCCAAGGGTGGAGCTGAGCTCTAGCCACTGAGGACAGGAGGTCTGGGCAGAGTAGGACTAACTAGATACAGCTAGAGGGCATCTCCAGGGGACTTTCTAGCCTGCACCAGAGTTTGGGGGACATACATCATATTCTGCACTACTGTGTGTGGCACCTTGCCCTACAGTTGTCCCTGTCTGAAGGTGCACGTGAATGGGAAACCTGGGGGCCTTATACCCTGATAGCTGGCGCTGAGCTGGTGCTGGGAAGGAGATGGCCTGGAAAGAGCAGAAGCCACTGTACATGCCACACTGTGAATCTTTGAATCTGCAGGACTTTGCACAATAGCTTGCACATGCACAATAAATACGTGTGCAGTGCACTAGTAGTTTCCCAGCAGCAGGAACTTTAGCTCAGGATTCCTTCCAGTCATCCTGATGCCCTAGCCCCACAGCAGGAGGTGGCGCCACATGGGAAGGCCAGTGAGGGTGCACACTCGTGCCACCAGCACCAGCCGGCGGTGGGGCAGAGGGCAGGGCGTGCTCGCTGGAAAGCTGCTGGGTGTTCACACCCACTGGGACTATGGGAGGAGAGGATGACGGGATGGGCCACAAAGCACAGCTGGGGGGATTTGCAGAGGGCGTGTGAAGGGGGCACTGCCAGGGGACACCTTTCACAGCATTTGTTTTATTTTCAGATGCTTGCTCAGAAATCCGGCAACATTATCAACATGTCCTCAGTGGCCTCCAGCATCAAAGGTGGGAACTGCCTCCTTTCAGACACACACACACACACACACACACACACATACACACACACAACCATGTGAGCTGTGCTTTAAGAATAAGCACAGCCCATATCATTAAAACCCATCTACAATTTCAAAACTGCGTTTTAAAACTTGGTGCTAGTTCCTTAACTAATAAAGTGTCTTAACCAATAAGACCTCTTGCTGTAGACATAAGGCAATCATAAAATTAAACAAAGTTCTTCCTCCTTGGCTTTCCGTTTTATTCCTTCTAGTGGATACGAACAGAGTTGGGGGAGGGCAACACCTGCCACTTCATTAACCCCCAAGGACAGGCACATACGATGCCTGGCGTGCAGTGGTCTGTGGTCCTGCAGGGGTGCGGCTGTGGGGTGGGGCGTCGGGGAGAGCGTGGGGGAGAGTGCAGACTCAGACTCAGGCAGGGCTGTGAAGGCTTCGCAGAGAGAGTCCCCCTGCGCCCTGAGAGGGCAGTAGTGGAAAGGCCCCACAGGATGGACGGGACACCACAGCCCGGTGGGCGGGTTTGGGAGTGGAAAGTGAAGAAATCCCCACAGAGGTGACACTGCTCTGTCTAAAGGGGGCACCGGGCAGCAGGGAGGAGTGCAGAAGGTGTCTCTGGTTTAGCCTTGTTTCTTGTTCACCCTTATTTCTTTTGGGTTCTTCCTGAAGGACTTCCCCACTGGCGGGGAGAGCAGACACCGCTGCTCAGTGAGGGCCGCGTGTCGGCGCCGAAGCTCGCTGAGTCACGGTGCTGACACTGTTTGCCTAGATGCGGAAACAGACCTAATAAGGAGATATCCTGAGAGCAGTCTGCTTAACAGAAAGGAGGAGGGTGGCAGGAAGTGTGCGTGGCCCTGGGGACTCACTGAGGCACCGGTCTCTGCTCCCTCTAGGCGTGGAGAACCGCTGTGTGTACAGTGCCTCCAAGGCAGCGGTGATCGGCCTCACGAAGTCAGTGGCCGCGGACTTCATCCAGCAGGGCATCAGGTGCAACTGCGTGTGCCCAGGTGAGCGGCCGCCATAGAAGACCCATCCCCAGAGGGTTGGGCTGTATTCTGTTGTCGGGTTTAGGAGAAAAGTCACCTTCCCACGAGGCCAGCCCAGGTGTCAGTAAGGATGGAGGGCCCATCCTGATGGGCATAAGCCACAGGGGCAGAGAGTTCAAATGCCACCCAGGCCTGTGGGACAGCTCGAGATCAAGTGGAAAAGGCCCGGTGACCTCATTAGGGGAAAGAGGAAAAAGGGGCCCTGCTTAGACAGAAAAGGGAAGAAAACTGACAGAGCCTCACGGGACATGAGACCTGCAGAGCTGAGGAGGCCCCAGGGTGGCTCCTAGTCGAAAATGTCGTGTTCATTTTTTTGATGCTATGAAAAGGGCCCACACTGTGGCCAGCAGGCGGGGTCTGCCTGATCCTTCCTGGTCAGTGCGCTCGATGGGATGAGCACACTGCGCATGCTCCATCTGCCTTCAGGTGACCCGCGCGCTCTCGGTGCTACAGAGACAGAGCTCAGCGGTGCAGCAGATCAGGGCTCTCAGAGCCAAACGTTCTTGCTGTCTGTCTCTTTATTAAGAAGATGCCAACCCCTCACAAAAAGAAAGAAGGACAGAATCTACTTTTCCTTGTTTTCTGTGGATGAGTCGTTGTCTTAGCACCTGTGGGTGGGTCTGTTTGATAAATGTGCCCTTTTGCTGGTTCCACCCATACAAAATGAGTACCGGGTACCTGATGAGGACCCTTACTGTCCTCTGAAGTAGCTCATAGCCAGAATCAGAGTTTCCAGTAGTTCCCAGCTGGTTTGGGAAGTTTTGGAGGAGTGTGACCTGTGGACCTTCCCAAACTGGAAGGCTGGCCAGGGTGTGGGGAAGGAGTGGACGCAGGCTCCATGAAAGCGTTCGGAACACACTCGTGTGGTCTGCGTCTAGCTATTCTTGGTGCCACTTACCCCATGGAATAAGTGGCAAAATTATTTGGAAAATGTGGCTGTTTCAGCAGCTGGCTTTTTCATGAGATTGGAAAAGATGCTCTCAAGCTCTGCGGAACAAGGAACTAGCCGTGATTCACGGCGCCAGTCACAGAGTAGCCCTGAGGAAGAACATGGTGTCTGGGATGACGCAGGTGGCTCTGCGTCAGACGGGTGTCTGCTGTGGCACCGTGTGTGGAGCGGTGTGGTGGACACAGCTGGGGCCAGTGGCGGGGGGATTCATCTGCAGCTGTCCCAGAAGAGCTACTCCTGGGGTCATGAGCGGGAAGCAATGGGTGTCCCCTTGGCCACAGGAGGCACGTGCTGAGGAGAGCATCATGCATGCTAAAAGTGCACACTCTTGGTGAAAGTTTGTATTCCAAGAAGGCAGTTGACAAGGGAAGGGAGGAGACTGCTGGGAGCGGGACAGAAGGGGACCACTGTTGCTGCAGTGAACCGGATCCAACTTGTGGCATTCTCAGGAGCATGGTCTGAAGGAGGAGCTGAGGATGCCGTGTAAATTCATTTGTTACAGCCTCAGAAAGATCACACGGCTCTGCAGACTACGCTTCTGTGTGAATAAGCGGTCCCCTCAAGAGGGTTCCAGGTCGCAAGCAGCGAACAGGTCCGCAGAGCCCTCTGCTGTGGAGGATGTGAACCAATTGCAGCTTTAAGTCTTTAATGTCATTCCCACTTTCCTATTTTAGTGTAAAACAATTCTAAATTATATTTTTATTAGAAACTTAAAACCGTGATTAAAACCTGGAATTTGAAACCAATGAAAAGAGGAAGACTGATGAGGGAAATACAGAGTCACCTAAATTCCCAGGGGTTGTAGCCGCTCTGGAAGCATCCCCAGCGAGTCCCGACAGTGAACCTGACAACAAAGAATGATTCTGAGATTACTGCATCAAGCTGGATCTCAAACTGGCAAAAGTGCTTATGCACTTTTTCAGTGTCTCAGCGTTGTGAAGATCCGCTCAGATAGTACACATTAAAATCCTTAGGACCCGTGGGGCTGGGGATTTAGCTCAGCAGCAAAAGCGCCTGCCTAGCAAGCGCAAGGTCGTGAGTTCGGTTCCCGGTACCGGAGAAAAACCAAAAAAAAAAAAAAATCCTTAGGACCCGTAAGTCACCATGTAAACGCACTGTGACTAAATTGCACATCCCTGAGAAGGTTGCATGCCTCCTAGGGACCTACTTAGGGACGTCACCAGCTAGCGTCTCTAGGCTGCATGTGTGATGGAATAATGTCGGCGGCCTGGTGTTTCTGAGGCTTCTCCCTTCCTGCTGATCACCATGGTCTGGCTGTTTCTTCAGGGACCTCTAAAGAGAAGGGTCCCAGTACGGGCCACCAAGATGTCACCAACCGGTGGAGGGTCCTTTTCCTTAATTTGTATAAAACTCAAAAACTGGCAAAGTGTAGCTCTTTATTTACAGCTCTGGGCTTTGAGTGCCAGCGGGTCTTAACCCTTAGCATCAGCAGCTCTTCTTGCTGCTCAGGGTAAGCAGCTACTGAGTTTCAGCAATCTGGTGCACCCCCCGGGGCAGTTCCTGGCAATTTGCCCCTGCTGTCTGTTCTCTGGCTTCTAGCCATGTTTAGTGGTAGCAGCCCTGGCTCCTAGTTGGTTTAGCACCAAGAGCCTGTGATGTCACCAGCTCTTAGTGTACCAGCCCAGCATTCCCTGCTCGAGATTGAAATCACGAACGGGCAAAAAATATGCCATACGAGGGAGGCGTTATTGGGGCTACGCTACAGCATAAAGGAAAGAGTGCCTAAACGTCACACGGCCCAATATGCCACAGGTATGGAGGCTTTGCTGATACAGGGAGAAGCCAAGCTTGTGCATGCAGTGCCCAACTCCCCGGCTGGTCACAGATGGGGCGGGACTCCTCACAGGCTTGGCTGAGGGCGCTGCAGAGGGCACAGCATCCTGACAGGCTATGAGTGAAGTCCTCTGGGCTGCGTCTGTGCCAAAGCTGCTGCAGCCAAGGCAAACACCTCCAGGAGCAGCTCGGAGCATCTCATGTGGCTGTGGCCTGCTGAGAGCTGTTTGGGGCAGCAGCAGAAAGAAAAATAAGTATTTCCTGGGGAGCATCGGACCCTTCGCTGCTGTCTCAGTGTCACAAAGAATCATAGTCTGTGTTTTTAAAAATCACAGTCCTATTGTTAAAGCTATTATAAAGCTAGTATAGGAGGTTGGGCAAGTGGGAGTGAAATTGTCATTTCTAGTTAAAGGAGAAGGCTTTCAATGATCGTTGTGTCGTATAAAAAAGAAGTCTAAAGTTTAGCTACCAATCATTTTGTGGTTCAATAAGTAACCAAGCTAAATATCCCCCTTTGGTTTAGGAACGGTTGATACCCCATCTCTGCAAGAAAGAATACAAGCCAGAGAAGACCCTCAGGAGGTACAGCGAGCATTTTACATGTCTTTAAACTTTGGGTTAAAAAACGTCCTCTTCCTGCCTAGAGTGACAAGAAGTAGTAGCGTGGTGATTGCCAGGGCTGAGGAAAGAAAGGAAAGGCAGTGCCTCCTGGGTGTAGAGCTTCAGACGGCCCTGGGGGTGGGTTGGTGACAGAGGCACAGCAGTGTGACGGTGCTGAACACTACCGAACTACACACAGTGGTTAAGGTGGGAACTTTACACTATGTGTGTTGGGCCCTGATTTTTAATCCTTCCTCCTTCGCATCAGCTTTCTGAGTTGTGACAGTAGCTGTGGCTTGGGCCATCACAGATACTGAGCTTGGGTGGAAAAGTCCCCACAGCCTCGGCTGGGACTCATCAAGGCGGCAGACTGGAGGCCTTTCTGTGGGGTCTGCACCAGGCCATCCCCCGAAGGATGTGACAGGGAACACAGATGTGCATTCCCATCCCTGATGTGTGGAACGGTCTCTGTCCGCAGGCACTGAAGGGTTTCCTGAAGAGACAGAAAACAGGGAGATTTGCGACAGCGGAAGAAGTGGCCCTGCTCTGTGTGTACCTGGCTTCTGACGAGGTGAGCACTTTCCCGCCCAGGGTTCCCATCCGGGGCCTCTGGGTCACTGTGTGTTCGTCAGGGTGATGTCACTATACAGTCGATGGCAGGGATGTGCTGAGACACCACGGTACAGGGGAGACCTCAAAGACAGGCCACGTTGATCTGAGCCACTGACTCTTCCTCACAGAACTTTATCTCAAAACCTTATAGCAAGCAAAATGAAGGACTAAAAAATTGAAGCATTCAATTTTTTTTTATTTTATTCAGATTACAGATGCAAAGCCCTGACTAAGTGGTAGTCAAACACACAGACCCCTAAGGACCATGCAAGCTTCAGGTAGATGGTTTGAGGGTGAACCAGACTCCACTGAGCTCAGGGCTGCAGATTGGTGCGAGGCTTTTAGACGCAGTCCGGGAGAAGCCCACTGGCTATTTTTTCCTTTGCTGGTTTGTCATCATGTGTGGAAATTACTAATTGTACTTCTTCCACACTGCCCCTGACTGGTAACCAGATTCTTCCTGACTGGCCTTTGTAGGTTTTGAAGGACATTCACTGAGAAAGCAAAACCTATGTTACAAGGTTAGAGCACAAAACACCTTCCCCTGGTTGCAGTCGCTGAATATTGATTAAACAGAGACGTGTACTTGGGGAGAGAGAAGGAAGGGAAGGGGAGGGAGGAGGTGTGGCCTCGCCACCTCCTCAGAGTCCCACCTTCCGCACCATTGCAGTGGAGGGTAGGGTCTCAAGTCCTCTTTCTAGCACATGGTGCACTCAGGGTGGCTGGAGAAAGCGACAGATCCCAGAGTGGGGAAGTTTCAGTGACGGCAGTTACACCACTCAGAGCCACTAGCAGCACTGGCAATGGCGGGGGACGATGTTAGGCAAACAGTGGAGTAAGCAAATTAGCCTGGGTGTTGCTCCGAGTCCGCAGCTTCCGAAGAGCCCCTGGGTTTAGAAGTACTGGCGATGAGCGGTAGACCTCCAACTGCCAACCAGCTGCAAATGTGTGGCTTGAAATAGGCCACAAAAAGACTGGTGGCTTCTTAGAGGAGCCAGAGCTGTTCATGCCCAAAACAGGAGCTTGGTTTTTGAAAAAACTTGGGAAGGTTAGGGTCGTTTCTTTGGTAAGATAATGAATAATCCCTAGTTTGTCTAATTTATACGATCAACTTTCATATATTGAACTCCTACAGCATCTTCACTCATAACATCTTTCCTTCTGCTCCTTCTGTTTCAAACTCTAGATCAAATTAAACCTGAGAATTCAAATTAGAGACTTTATTGTCCGTTTTTAGTTAAAACATTCTTTATCTTCTGCAAGGATTGCTTCAGTTTTAGTTCTTTGCAGAATGAAACATTTTATGAGTATAAACCTATAATTATTTTTATGATCCTGCAGTTTTAGATAGATTTGGATGTGTGGGACTAGTACAGAATATTATTTCAGAAATGATAATAATTATTGCTCAAATAAATTTTTAAACACACTTCATGCAGTTTGATATATTGAAGACTTTAGCAGTGGCCTAAAACTTGGCTAGGAGTGAAGATGTGCTATTTTGGACTATACTTTATCCTAGTTTGGGGAATGGCTGTAGTTCACCTCCCTAGTTTTGTGATTCTGAACACTGCAGCCTAACAGCCTGCTTAGAATGTGCCATACGCCCAGTTGCCAGAGGCCATTTATCTTCAGATCTCAAGGACACGCAGCAGTTCCAAAGCATCTGAAATTTAATTTGGATTCTCCCAAATTCAATGTGTAAGTGTGCTTTCTGTGAGGATGAGTCAGTGGTCCAGCTATCCCAGCCATAGACTGACTGAAGCTACACAGCCTGGGTCCCACCTGGTTGACTGTGTGTCTCCTTGCGCTCATCCCTGCAGTCAGCCTACGTGACTGGCCACTCGATGGTCATCGACGGAGGCTGGAGCCTGTGACCGCAGAGCATCCCTCCCGGAAGGCAGGCCCTTCCTTCTTGCTACTGCGCATCTGGGTGTGAAGAAAACCTGCAGTGTTCCCGCTCCTGCAGATGACATCCCTGAAAACAAGCCCTCTTAGTGACTGCTTGGAGTCTGGGTCTCTAAATACATTCATCTCTTTGGAATCTCTCCTGAAATCATGCAAAGTAAATCAAATAAAAAATATTAAAATTGTTGCAGGAGAGTTATTTTAAAAAATAAACTTTAATCTGTAAGCATCTGACTTCTTAGTTCAGGCTGCTATGAAAATTACAAAGAACTACATGGTTCAGACAGTCTGGAGGCTGGGAGCCCAAGATCACTGCAGGCCGGTCCACATTTGGGGAGATTCTGGGGGTGCAGTGGTCACCCACCGTGGCTCCCACAGCAAGGGAAAAGAAGTGACACAGCATGCCTGTGTCTTTGTGAGAATGCTGGTCCCGAACAGGAAGGCCCTGCCTCTGGCTTCATGACCTCCCCTAAGTCTCACCTCCCAGGGCGGCCACATAGGAGGTGAGAGTCTCAACATGTGAATTTGGGGCAGAAACATTTAGTCTATAAAAGCATATGAAATTAAAATGAGAATATGAAAAGGGTTTTTTAAAGGAAAAACAATTTATTTCCTTCTAAATCCCAACTACTAAAAGCTTCTGTGCAATTTTTCTGTCCTATACTGCATATAGAGCCTAGTTTAAAATTTTTATACCATCATAAATGAACACCAAAGGTAGGAAGGATTTGGCTTCAATAACAGTGAAAGGAGTTTAGATTTAGAACTATGTTTTTGATCTGTTATGTAAAAGAAAAATGTATTTATACATAACATGTTATCACATATTAAGTGCAATTTTCCTGCACTAATGTTTATTAAAGTGAGCAATTATATTTAGCATGGGCCTAAGAAATATATAGCTACTCAGGTGCCAGTGTGGTCAGTTTGAGTTGTTTTTTTTTTTTCATTAAGTACAGATTTGTTTCACCAAAGTCTAGCATAATAGTGATAGTTTGTGTTCTCTAAAATCAAAGAATGAATGTGAGGAACAACAAGATTAAGAGCAGGATATATTTATTGAGGGAAAGAAAGCTTCAGTCTCAGAGAAAGACAGAAGGGGTCTAGAATGGGTTTCCAAGGAACCTGCCTTTTCTAGGGATTTTTATAGAGCAAATCCATGGTGGGAGGCAGGTCCAAGGTGGGAAACATGGGAAATCGCAAGGTGGGTGTGAGATGGGATGAAGCTACAGTCAGTCAATAAGATTACAAGTATAATTGTGCTCCGGTAGAATTTATTAAATCAGGATCAAATAGGGAAGCAAGTCACATAGGAACCAGGCATGAATACAGTACAGGGGCTCTTCCTGTAGGGGGTTGGGTCAGTGGCTCTTCCTGGCTTTCTCACAGTGACTGATACCTATTTAGAATACCAATCCCTGTTGTTTATTTTTAGGGAGGTGTTATGGTTTGTGTGTGCATGTCCCCCTAAATCCTCATGAAGTCATGGGGCAGGCTTCTAGATTTATGATTGATCCATACTCCAAAGCTGGGATTGTGGGTGTGAGTGCTACACCTGCCCCTGGGGCAGATAGTTTGCATACAATATAAGGAAGGGAAAGAGGCTTGCTCTCCTGCCTGCTATCCTCCATTTTGTTCTTGTTGCTTTTGCTGTCTTCTGTCGCCATGAACTGTTGCCGTCTCCCATGTACCACTCTGCCTTGGAGCCAGCCAAGTATGGACTGAAACCTCCACAAACTGTAAGCTAAATAAACCTTTCCTTCCTTCATTTTGGGTGTCAGGTATTTTGTCTTAGCAATAAGAGAAAAGTAACCAAGACAGGAGGTATGCATTTGTTTTGTCTTAAAATCTGGCCCACAGAGGAGGTGCTTGTGGTCCCCCACAGCTGCAAGGCATCTCATCTGCTCTGGCTCCTTTGAGGGCCTAGCCCTGTCTGACTGCCTATAATATTTCTATCTAACTCAGTTGCCTACAACAAAAGAACATTCTGCAGATGGCAAATATGATTAAAATTCAGAGCAAAGGATATTTTGAGAGCATTGCTGACAAGCCCCTTGATGGTAAGATTTGCACTCGGGGTCTGGGCCAGGCATTGCACAACTAGACGGTGGATGGCTTGGTGTGGGACCTAGACCAGGGCCCCCAACTTATCCTGGATTTCAGCTTCTGGTTTATGAAATTGGGCAGTTGGGCTAAATGACTTGGGTTTCCTTTGGTGCCTCATGGTCAAAACACTGTAACTTCTTACCTACTGTATTAATGGAATCCTGAAGCCTGTAAGAATATCATGAAATACTATATTCTGTGAGTAGAATAAAGTACATTGAGATGTATAGCTATACACGAATGAATTCAAATGAACATACAATGAATTCTCCAAAATGAATTTCAGGTCCACAGATGTCGGGAGTCAGTCTGCACAGAGCTAACAGTAGAGCATTATAAACATTACAAGCAATGAAAATAAAGTGCAGTCTAACGCCCAAATTCCATGGTTTCCAAGCCCAGGTTAAATCAGGTGCTGCGCCGGAAGTGGTGGTACAGGCCTGTAATCCCAGCACTGGGGAGGCTGAGGCAGGAGGATTGTTCCAAATTCAAGACCAGCCTGGGCTATAAAGTGAGCTCAAGGCCAGCCTGAACTGCATAGCGAGACCCTGTCTCAAAAAGACAAAACATAAAAATAAATAAATCAGGTGCTGCATCCTTTAATACCATGTGACTGAAAGAAAAGGAAAAATGTATTTTAATGCTGTGGAAGAGGAAGCTGGTATGACTACAAGTTTCTGCAGGCTTCAAAGTGGAAGCCTTCCGATTAGGAAAGCAGTCATTTCAGAGCTGGGGCGGGTGTGACAGAACCTGGGCTGCTCAGGAGGGAGGACCTGAGACCCCAGGAGAGTGAGGGAACGCACTCCAGGAAAGACCTTTCCCAAAGAGGATCGTGGCGCGCCTGCTTCAAGGAGTGACACAGGTGAGGGGTGCGAACACACCCACACAGACACACATCACATACACTCACACACTCACACCTTGGAGGGTAAATAGGAAGGGAAGGAAGCCGCAAACAGGGAAGTGAGAACTGTGGAAAAGAATCCCTTCCCTGGGGGAGGATTAAAATCCAAAACCGAGGGAACGTGCTGAAGAAGGCATAAAAGTTGTACCAAGACTATCGGCCATCTGTCACCCGATCAGCACCCTCGTGAGCAGCACGCGTGGGAAGATAGGGCTCACAGGCCGAGACACAGGCGGCGCGGCAGCCTGGGGACACAGACGCCGCCACTACCACTCCTCGACAACCCGGGCGCGCTGGCACGGCGGGGACCGACCCGATCCGACTCGACCCAACCCGGGCGCCGAGCTGCGGGCTCCGCATCCACGCGGCCGGGTCCCCGGCGTGTGAGGGTCTGGGTCCAGGGCTCCCTGAGGTCGGCGAGGGCGCCGCCGGTGAGTGACAAGGAGGCCGGGTCGCCGGGCCTCGCATGGGCCTTGGGGGCGGCTCCGGAGGCGGCGGGCGCCGTGTGCGCACGCGTGGGTGCGTGTGCGCGCGCGTGTGCGTAGTGGCACGCGCGGCGTGTATGAATGTGCGCGCGTGGGTGTGGGTGTGTGCATGGATGCGCGCTGCGGGGCTGCTGCTGTCCTTGCGCGCCTCCGCCCCCTTCTCACCGCGGCCCGTGCGGGGGCTCCGGGCTGCCCCGGAGGCGCTGGGGCTCCGCCGGGCTTGGGGCCTCCGGAGCGCGCTGCTGCTGCTGCCGGGTTCTCCCTGCAGTTCGGTTTCCCACCGTCAGGAGCGAAATCTCAGTGTCATCACCCGTGCATCTGCTCTGTGGCGAGCAGGCCTGGACACAGGAGGTGCGCGTGCGAGTTCCATGCGTATGGTTTCTGCCTTAAAGGAAGACGGAGCCGAGCGGATCACAATCAGCGTCCACCGCGCGGGCAACTCGGGGCTCGGGCTCCCGCCGCGCCTCTCCCCAGGAGGCTGCCAGTCTCGGCGTTTCCAGGCCTGAAAGCCTGCAGGATGCCAACCCCGCTGACTTCGTGCCAGGACTTCTCAGATCCTCCGCGCAAGGCACTGTAGGAGTGGAGCAGAGTTGAGGACTTCACCCCCAGCGGCGTTCCTCACTTCCCTTCGGCTAAGATTGGGACTCAGAAAGTAGGTGACTTGGATAGGGTCTCCAAGGTAAGGTCAGCCGGAGGCGACTTCCTGCTGATTTCAGCTGGGTCCCACGGGCAGGGAAGGCCCAGGAGGAGCCAGTGTCAGGCTTCAGAACTGTGATGCGCGAGACTCGATCTCTGAAACCCCTCCCTCCACACGTTACAGTGTGAAGCAGGTCTTCAGCTCATAAAATGTGCAGAAACTTCCTGTAACAAAAGGTTCTCAGATATCTGCTTCATGATCAGCTAGGCATTAGCTCTGTGGAGAAGGTGTGTTCTGTTGATTCTGTCGGTACACAAACCTCACTGGTAGAATGAGTTTTTCCTCTGGAGGAAAAGGACTCACATCTTTCTCACACAAAGCCTGGAGGCAGGGTGTGGGAAGTGGGGCTCCCTGTGTGGGCTTCCTGTGTGTAGTGAGGGCGAATTCTCTGCCATCCTTTGGCTCAGGTGTTAAGAAACCACAATTATGTTAAGCTCCAGATTCATTTTAATAATCCTATAAAGGTAGCGAGTATGTCTCGTCAACATAAAAGCCTTACCTTTTAAATTTTTTATCTTATGGAAGAAAACAAAATTTCAGAACAAAATAATAGAAGAGAAATAGTGAATACGTTGTGTATTGCTATCTTCAAAATAGTTACTAAGAGTACAAGATAAGGCATGAAAAATTCTCCGAACAGTATTAGCACAAACCTTTCTTATCAGTGAACTAAGAAACTAATAGTATAACTATCTTGTATTTTTTCCCTTTTCCCTTCCTTCTTTTCCCCGTCCCCCTTCCCCCACCCCAGTTCCTCTTTCTTTTTAAACAGTTTCTTCCCATTTCACAATGTCTGTGGTATATTTTGGTCCTTATTTACTCTTTCAGTTTCTCACGATACAGTGTTTACACACGTGAGTCTGATTTACTTCACTTAGGAGTATGGTCTCAAGTTGCAACCCTTTATCTATATGTCTCATGTTTATGTTTCTTTGTGGCTGAGTGGTAGCCCACTGTATAGAAATAGCACATCTTTTTTATCCACTCCCCAGCAGATGGGCATTTGGGTTGTTTCCAAGATTTAGCTCTTACAAATTATGCTGCTATAAATATGAATGTACATATATCTCCGTGGTATGATGTTTTTAATTCTTCCAGGAATGTACCTAGAGAGGAATAGCTGGTTTGAAAGGGACCTCTAATCCTAGTTTTTTGAGGAGTCTCCACACTCATTTCCACAGTGGTTGCACCAGTCTGCACTTCCACTAACAGTGGAGAAGGGTTCCTTTTTCGCCACAGCCCCTCCAGCATTTGTTATCAGTTGATTTCTTGATGATAGCCATTCTTTCCAGGGTGAGTTGGAATCCCAGTGTTGTTTTATTTTGCATCTCTTGAATGACCAGTGATACTGAACATTTTTTCATATATTTATTTGCTATCTGTATTTCTTCATCTGAGAAGTGTGTATTCATCTCAGATGCCCATGTTTGGATTGGGTCTTTGAATTTGAGGGGTCTGATTTTTTCCAATTCTTTATATGTTCTAGATATAAGTCCTTTGTCCGAGGGACAACTGGCTAAAATTTTTTCTCACTCTGTGGGTTGTCTTTTCACTTGTGATTTCTTTTGTTGTGCAAAAGCTTTTCTTTCTTTCTTTGTCTTTTTGAGACAGGGTTTCACTATGCAGTTCAGGCTGCCCTTGAGCTCACTTTGTAGCCCAGGCTGGTCTCAAACTCACAATGATCCTCCTGCCTCAGTCTCCCGAGTGCTGGGATTACAGGCGTGCACCACCACTCCCAGCACTGCAAAAGCTTTTTTTAACAAGGTGAGATCCCAGTTGTTGATCCTTTGAAGTATTTCCCATGTGGTCTGGGTTTTGTTCATGAAGTCTCTGCCTACATCTATGTCTTCAAGATTTCTACATATTTTCTCTTCCAGTAGATTTAGTGTTTCTGTGTTAATATTTAGATATTTTTAAAAATTATTATTGGCACATATTGGCAGTACATAACATTTACATTCATCATGTGTAGTCGGTACATGTACATGATACATTTTAATTCTTTTTATGTCTCCATCTTCTCCCTTTTCTCCGTCTCTTGGTCCCCTTCCCATTTCTAAAGATCTACATATCTTTTTCTATTATCCATCTTTTATTTTGCTCATTAAATTATTTATACTTTGAATTGCTTATGTAAGAGAAATCATTCATATTTAAACTTTTGTGTCTGATTTATTTCATTTAACATTATTTTCTTGAATTGCATCCATTTTCCTACACATGACTGTTCATGGCAGAGTTGTATAACATTTTGTAAAATACTACATTCTTGTTACCCATTCATCTTTTGATGGACATATAGGCCACTTCCCAGGTTTACCTACTATGAATTGTGCTGCTATAAGCATGGGTGTGCATGTATCACGTGATATGTGTATTTACTCTTTCAGGAAGATACCTAGCTAACTCGAATAGAATATCTCATTTTAGCTTTTTGAGGAATTTCCATACTGATTTCCATGGTGGTTGCACTAGTTTACATTCCCACCATCAATGCTAGGTTCCTTCCCTGCAGCCTTGTTAGTATTTAATATTATTTGATTTCTTGATGACAGGCACTCATTCTTGAGTAAGATGGAATCTCAGAACTGGGTGGGATAGCGCACATCTGTAATCCCAGCCCTTGGTGGCCTGAGGCAGGAGGATCACTGAGTTCAAGGCCAGGCTGAACTGCATAGAGAAACCTTGTCTCAAAAAGACCAAAAAAAAAAAGATGGAATCTCAGTGTTGTCTTAATCTGCATTTCTCTAATGGCCAAAGATGTTGAGCGTTTTTTTCATGTATTTATTGGCCATTTGTACTTCTGAGAAGTATCTGTTCATTTCAGTTGCCCATTATTTATCAGATCTTTTATTTGGGGAGATCTAATTTTTTTGAGTTCTTTATTAATTCTAGATATTAGCCCTCTGTCTGAGGAGTAGCCAGCAAATTTTTCCCCTTCTGTAGGTTTTTCTTTACTCTGTTGCGTTTTTCCTTTGTTGGACAGGAGCTTTTCAATTTAACATGATCCCATTTGTTGATTCTTGATGCTATTTCTTGTGCAATTGGGGTTCTGTCCAGAAAGTCCTTGCCTACACTTATGTACTTGAGAGTTTTACCTATTTTATCCTCCAGCAGATTGTTTCTGTTTTAATTTTTAGATTTTTGATCCACTTTGATTTTCAGTTTTATATATGGTGAGAGATACTGGTGTAGATTCAGTCTTCTGCATGTGGATAGCCAATTTTCCCATCGTCATTTGCTGAAGATGCTGCCTTTTCTCCGGTGCATGTTTTTGGCCCCTTTCTCAAAGATCAGTTTTGGCATCCTCTGTCCTGTCCCACTGATCCTCATGTCTGTTTTTGTGCTAGTATCATGCTATTCTTCTTATGGTAGCTTTGTAATATAACTGGAAATTCTGGATTGTGATACTTCCTGCTTTGCTCTTTAATTATATCATCTCTGAGCTTGCCCAGCATCTTACTGATCTGTTGTTTATTCCTTCTTTTATCACTTCACATAATTCAAGTGTTTGATGTTTTGTTTTTCTCCCCATCAGTGCCCCACAGATCAGCTTTGGGGAGTTGGGAGTTTTTGGAGGCAATTTTATTGTCTTGTGTTATCATGTTTCTATTGGTGTGTATGTATGTGTGCGTGCACATGTGCAAATGTGCATGTGTGTGCTTTGAGAGTTGATTAAGATAAAAAGACTTTGTTACTAGTATGCAGATCTCTTTAGTTAGTTTTTGCTTTCTTGTTATATGCTGTGGGCATGGCTCACTGTAGTCCCAAGATCCAACCACCTCTGTTAATTTGGAGAAGAGAAGGTGCAGTGTAGTTGCCCCATCACCCAGCAATATTGGAACCCACCAGATATGGGAGAGAGATAGTAAGTCACTACTATGTCCTATTTTGTTTCCAGCTCAGTTTTTTGTGTTTGAGTGCTGAGTCCTTCCCTGCCTGCTGAGTCCTGCTAGCATGATTGGTCAATAGTACTCATCCTAGGGCCATATTCACTCCAGCCACTCCCAGTGTCTGTGTTCCTCTGTGTGCCCCAAGTCATGACTTTCTCTACCTAGCTTTATGGCCTGTGGGTTTGTGAGATGCTCTTCTTGCTCCAGAGGCTCCTCTTGCTCCAGAGGCTCCTCTTGCTCCAGAGACCCCTCTGTCCATATACCCCAGGCTGTGGCAATCATCCAAGCTGAGGTGTATCCCTGCTCATGTTGGTAAATAGGGGAAAGCAAACAGACACCTGAGCTTTCTGCTGGAT